ATCTCGTATTTGTATACGTGACGAAAAGGAGTAATCCTTAATATTATATTACAAATACTATTTAGGTATCTGGAACTAATTAAGCTTATGTTCTGCCGAAAACACTTTTCAAATCATAATTTTAAAAAATCATTAAGTTGTAGTGATGGATAGTGTAGTAGTCCTATCGTAATTTACTTTTTATGACATTATATATGCTCCTTCGAGGGTAATGCAAGACGTAATCAGCTTATACAGAATTGTTGTGTACGTTTGATTGGAGGTGTCATGTTCTGCCTAAAATACCTTTCAAATCATAATTTTTAAAAATCATTAAGTAGTAGTGATGGATAGTGTAGTAGTCCTATCGCAATTTACTTTTGGTAACATTATTTATGGTCCTTCGAGGGTAATGCAAGACGTATTCAGCTTATACAGAATTGTTGTGTACGTTTGATTGGAGGTGTCATGTTCTGCCTAAAATACCTTTCAAATCATAATTTTAAAAAATCATTAAGTGGTAGTGATGGATAGTGTAGTAATCCTATCGCAATTTACTTTTGGTGACATTATATATGGTCCTTCGAGGGTAATGCAAGACGTATTCAGCTTATACAGAATTGTTGTGTACGTTTGATTGGAGGTGTCATGTTCTGCCTAAAATACCTTTCAAATCATAATTTTAAAAAATCATTAAGTGGTAGTGATGGATAGTGTAGTAATCCTATCGCAATTTACTTTTGGTGACATTATATATGGTCCTTCGAGGGTAATGCAAGACGTAATCAGCTTATACAGAATTGTTGTGTACGTTTGATTGGAGGTGTCATGTTCTGCCTAAAATACCTTTCAAATCATAATTTTTAAAAATCATTAAGTAGTAGTGATGGATAGTGTAGTAGTCCTATCGCAATTTACTTTTTGTAACATTATATATGGTCCTTCGAGGGTAATGGAAGACGTATTCAGCTTATACAGAATTGTTGTGTACGTTTGATTGAAGGTGTCATGTTCTGCCTAAAACACCTTTCAAATCATAATTTTTAAAAATCATTTAGTGGTAGTGATGGATAGTGTAGTAGTCCTATCGCAATTTACTTTTGGTGACATTATATATGGTCCTTCGAGGGTAATGCAAGACGTATTCAGCTTATACAGAATTGTTGTGTACGTTTGATTGGAGGTGTCATGTTCTGCCTAAAATACCTTTCAAATCATAATTTTTAAAATCATTAAGTGGTAGTGATGGATTGTGTAGTAGTCTGCTTTTTGTAACATTATATATGGTCCTTCGAGGGTAATGCAAGACGTATTCAGCTTATACAGAATTGTTATGTACGTTTGATTGGAGATGTCAGATGGTAGGTAGGTAGGTAGGTAGGTATTTGGTGATAAAATGAGGGAAACTGGGTGGTTCAACATAAAGAAAAGGCGATATTATCTTTTTTTTTTACTATTTAGTAAAATATTCAGTAAAATTGAAATTAAAACAGGACTCCTCATAGACTTACCATTTTACCTTCTACAATATTTAAAAAGGCTGCTCGTAAATGGCTAGGCAGTTGAACTGAAAGCGCTCTGTATATGCTTCTTCCATATAAATAAATTGTAAATACGTTTTTTTCTTCTTTTTTATACGGCAATTGTAAATTAAGTGAGGAAGTATAACTTCAACTTCAATAATATTGAATATACTTCCAAATAGTTTTGGTCAGCTTATTGCCAGACTAACTATATTTTTGCAAGTGCTAGTTAAAAAATTAACAAACACTATAACTTGTTAAACATTAGATAATAATTTTCGAGTAGTGCAAATATTTGGAAAAAATTTAATGTCAAGTTGATATATTTTAATGTGGAAAAACATATTTTTCTTGGGGTATCGGTAGTGATGGGGGCTCAAATGAAAAGGCTTTTGCAGTAGCACCCAAGACTCCAAATATTTAGATACAACAATTTTTAGAAATTTTTTGCGCCCTTTGATTTCAATTAATATTGCGATATTTTTTTCATTAAATTTGTAAAAACATTTATAATTTTATTTTAACCTATTATTCCATCATTGTATTGTAGGGTCAATACAACAAAACACAATAAACAATGAATATAAACACATAAACAATAAAATTTAATTCAAAGTTTCTGTCCCAAAATCGTATGTTTTAATTTAAATGAAAATAAATGCGTAGGTAAGATATTTTTCCCAAATTGACACACGTATACTTAGTCGTATGAAAATGGTTGATTTGCAGTTCCGATAATCTTCAAATGTTTTACTAATGTCCCATAGACATCTCTATCTTGATGGCTTGCTGTTTCAACTCTGATAAAGAAATCTTTGCGAATAGTTTGTCGAAATTCCAATTTCAAAATTAGTGTTCAATGCAAACTGTGTAGACGGAAATATAAGTCGGAGAAATTTCCAAACAATTTCCTACTTCAAAATAATAATTTATGATTAAGAGATCCCGTAATATGAAATTTATAATTAAACCCGATCAGATATGCATTTATTTACATTACAAATATTCGCCGGTATTTTTAAATGCAGCAACAAATTGCACGTATCGAGTAACCTACTTCCTAGCTGAGAGCATAAAAAGCGATTTCAGTTTATATAACTATGCATACAGAAATAAAACCACCAATCGGTGCAAATGAAAGGATATTAAATTTAATGGTGTTTATCGGCGTTTCACATACTTTAAGTAAATGTCCGGCCTTGCAAAGTACCGCACAATGACTTATGAATTTTTCTTACAAGTTTCTAGATATTTTAAGGAAGATCCCATTCATCCTTGCTCCTATTCTAGCCTTCGGATTATCAAGCGTCAATGTAATAACTGGAATAACGCCTTAAAAAATAACGCATTCACCTTGTACGGTTTTAAATACAAGCAAGTGACCTTTTTGGATCGGACACTCATTATTTAATAACCTGTTCTTGATTTTTCGGTAACTGCGAATCAACTTCTTGATAATTGAAATTGCTAAATATTTCCTGAATACAGTTTAACGATGGAGTGTGGAAAATTGTTATTGTACTGGAACAGAAATAAATGTTTTTTCCACAAGTATGTTAAAGCTTAAAATATACTATAAACGTATGTTCCAAAATACAGGGAGGTACAGGGTGTCAAAGTTTTTAGAATTTTTTTTTTAATGCTGCTGATTTCTGAAGCAAATTGGTATCCGAGGGCATTTTAAGGGTCCTCTTATTAGAAGTCGTTTGAAGTAATCTACCGATACCAGTGTTTAAACAATTTTCTAAAATAACATATAATAAAATTAAAAAAAAAATTTCACCTAAACTTCCACATGCTACTGTAATACTATTTACAAATTTTCTGGATTTGTAATGACTAATTTAATACATTGTTTCTAAACAACAAACACAAAAGAAAATTTTGAAACTGAAGTATTTTAGATCACACATTTATAGTAACTTTTTACCTCTAAAACATTTGAGAAATCACTCTTTGAAATATCAGTAAACTTATTAAATAGCACCATGTGTATTCGCAAAGGCACAATACTAGTGCGCAATTGTTTAAATTTATTATTCCGAGTACTCCCAATTTTATTGTAAATAAGAATTTAAAAGTAACTTTTATTAAGTACAAGGATATAGACAGCAAATAGGTTTTTATTCACTTCCTATTCTTTTCAATCTCCTTTGAAGAAATTCAAATAGCTGGATATATTTTTGACAACTTTGTTTACTATTTAACTAATTTTACTCTTAGTAGTATAAAAAAGAAAGAAAAAAGAAAATGGAAAATTTGAATGAAAACACCTTGTTTTGTTAAGGTTAAGGCTTCTAAAATGGAATTTAATTTAATTTAAAAGGCGACTTTTTCGCCAGATGTAGGTGCTACCATTTTATAAAAATTTAAAGCCCGAACGTTTCCTCTGCAATGTTGCGTTAATCTCTTTTGAAAATACGCTGTTGATATGTCGTTGAGAATTTTAATATTTTTGTTCATTTATAGACGAGAAAAAAAAATGGTTTTCATAATGTTGATGGATTTAAGTCATTTATCTAGAAATAACCTTATAAAATCCACAAGATATCCTGAAAAAGTCCATACAAACTGCAGTTAGAGAAGCAATAGTCGCCGAAAGTGAAAAATATTTTCTGAAAGCCATTCAATTGACGACGGTGTAATAGCCAACCGTCGAAACTTCATCTATTAAAGAAGATCTGTAATTATCCGCTTAAAAATAACTCTTTCATATATAAAGATACCCGTTTCGAAACGACGTACTAATATTTTACGAATTTCTCCATGATGACACAACCATTTGCATGTAATTTGATTTTACCGCATCTCAACCATATGTTTTGAAAATATGTGGTTCGAAGCCCGTCACACGCAAAGATTTCTCAACATTAGATTATTTTTTATTGTATTTTATTACGCCAAAGACAAAATCTAAACACATTTTATTTTCTGAGTAATCCAAGGAATAAACAATTCGAAAATAATCTGAGATAAAACTTATTAACAACCAATTTTTGTTCAATACATGACCTAGTAGAATTCTCTATAATTTTTTTGCAATGGACGGGACATTCAACGGGTTTTTATAATATTTTTGGCCCACTTTTACTGTCCTATATTTCGAGCAACCTTTGCACACATCGGTATTGCAGTCCGTCTGTCACAAGATTAATTTGATACCTTTAACAGGCATTTCCGTATTGATGATGGAATAAAGTCGTTATTTGGTTATCAAAATATGAAACAATTATCAATTTCTTTGGTAACAGACGTGTGGTATTATTTAAAAATAAACAACAATAGGATAATCATACACGCTTAAATGTCACTTCCCACTTAGTGAATTACTAATTTCAATGTTACCTAACGTCAATTATCAGATTTGCATAATAAAAGAAGCGAATGAAAATTGAACAATCTCAAGCGCCAGAGACCATTTTTGGGGCATTTAGCTGTTACAGATTTGATTTTATTCGAAACCACGAACCATCTCATTAATAAAAATATGTTACTTACCGCTGGGGGCGCTCTTGTTCTTTGGCCGGAAATTTGCAGGGCAAAGAAGAAAAGCAAGAGAAGGTGAAGAATCTTCATTTTGATTCAAATTGGTTAACTAGTTGCGGTGCAGATCAGGACCATCGAGAACTTTTTATTCTTCATGTAGTTGCTTTTTGTAGGCAATGCCCTGAAAAAACAGAATAGAAAATCCACTAAAAATTATATTCATCTCATACAACACAAACTAAAAATGGCGATGGTATGTGTTGCTTCTAATAGATCAATTGAAATAAAATTTAAAATAGTATATTATGAATCACGAGTTTATTTGACACGAGTGGAGCGAATGTTTAATAAACGAGTGACTTATAATATATTATGCAACCAGTGCGGTAAGCGGCATTTGACTCACGAGTTTATTTGACACTAGAGCAGCGCAGCGGAGCGAGTGTTTAATAAACGAGTCACTTAAAAAGTTTACCGAACATGTTGCATACTATACTTTTTCTACTACCGTTAGTTTTTGAGTACATTTTCGCAAAACAACACAAATACATTCACTGACATGACCGTCAGAATTGACAAACGTCAAAATTCAAAGCGTGGGAAATCTCTCCGAAAACATCCGATTGCTCACAAATCCGTGCGGAAAAATCCCGGAAATATCCGATGTGGCTCGGATTCTTGCGTAACCGACGTGGTCAAGTGACGCTTCCCGCTAGATCGGTTTGTAATTTGGTATTTTATAAACGGGAGTAGAAAAACACTCTTTCATACTTAATTTCCGTGCACTTGGAGATCGTTAGTTTGAATAACATTTTATCAGAATCAGCTTTTGCAAAATTTATGTTCACAACAATTACTTGATATTGCCAATCATTTAATAATAGATATGTGGTGATACACTTATACTTCATAAACAGTTTTACTCAGAAGTTTCAAAGTTCTCGGAAATACTTTCTATTTATTTTTGGAATTTTGGTTTAGAATTTTGGGAAAAGGGATTTTATTGTTCTCTCGAACAATTATCGATTAGTCGATTAGTATATAATAGTATATTAAAATATGTTATTCACATAAGTTATACCACAGAATGTGTTTTATTCTTATTCAGTCCCAATAAACAGCAAAATACTTGTTACACAAATTTTCGTACTAAGCACCCTAGAAATTCGATAAAATGACCCAATGACTTGCGTGTAAAACGTTCAAATTCAATTAACGAAACGAAGCCAAATTACGCAATCGGCAATGCATCCCCATTAGATATTAACTAATTATTTCGTGTGTTTTCACTGTAATTAAGAATTAAAAATTACGAAATATTTGGCAACTTTAAATTTGCCTACGATATGTTATAAAATCATACAACGGCAATTACAATCCGTGCATTTTAGGTGGGTATAAAGTATTCAAATCTTAATTATTAAAAAGAAACTTCAAAATGTTCTGAAAAACGGTTACCATCGCGTGACGAACGATGCAGAAAAATTGTCCATTAAACTTGATCGACTTATCCCGTAGCCTTAACACAAAACAGTCGTTAATTTAACTTAACGCAATACGAAATTAAAACCACGCCCGGGAACGTATTTTGACAAAATTTTGAATTGTATCTGAAGATATTTTGAAAGTTACTATCGAATGGTTTGGAAGACTATGAACATTTGTTTTTCTACGGCTGCTATGAAAAGGCACGTCAAAGAAGATCTGAAAATCTCACATATATGACAATATAAAAATACAACCGTTAAAATAAAAAATAAAATTATGAAAATTGTATTTTTGCTTTCTATTCAGTCGGAAAAAAACGTATGTATTCGTTGCAACACTAAATATAATATTACAATAATTAATAATTAAAGGTTAATTAAAATAAATATTTACTAATTTGATTCGGACTTTGTAGGCATAGACGCGTGAAAAATATCTTGAATAACAGTTTGTAAAATCTGGATAACCAAATGTTAGACTAAAGCTGGACTTGATTTTGAACGTTTATTGACTTCATGACCGAATTGCTATGAAGACATCGAAAATTGTAGTTATTTTGATTATCTTAAAATTTATTCAAGGGGCTCTGAAGTCTCGAAACTCAGACCCAAAAAACTATTGGGTAGAGTCGGATTCTTGGAATTATTTAAACCAAAGCTTTGAAGCGTGTTTATATAAGTCTATTTATATTTCTTATTCAACTATTGAAGATGACAGACCGATTTCTGATTAGTTTAATTAGATTAGATAAATTTTCGAATACTTAATTGCTCACTTATTTTTTTATACGCCGCGTAACTTTGTGTTTAGAATTACCCATTTTATAAATTTGGTTCGGAATTGTTATGCCTATTATGATTTAGAAATGGAAAGTATTTGACGGCTGACTGATTCGGAATTCAAAAAAGAACGTTTATTGTGGCGAGTAAGGTGCGTGTTATATTATTGTAACTCCACCGAATATGTAAATTTGTTAACGTTTAATGTACGTGTTGCGCAATAACTTACTAACACAAAAATCAAAAAAACGAAATAAAACAATAGACTCATTATTTATTAGTTTACCTCAGATATTGAAGAACAATTTTTAAAATTATTCTACACAATAAAGTATACCGGGTTAGTAAAAAGTACAGTAACGCTTAAATATCCTCAAAATTGAAAAAGCTGAAACGGTAATATGCAATACCGAGGAGTTTTTTAACGTGCAGAATTTAAAAAATGCTAACAGCAGTGTTGTCAGATTTACCACTTTTACGTCACACCTCATAATTTTGCTATTTTAAATGGGATGCCCTATTTATTATTTCTGCAATGAATATATCAACTTTGGTAAGGTCTCATAATTTCAAAATTATGTTTCTTTTAATTACAAAACTACAACAACACCGCTTTTTCAGTCAAAAGTACCGGAATGCTTAAATAGTATTTCCCGAACTGCCAAAGCTGGAAGGATAAAATTCAATGAGTATAAGTTAATGTACATTGCTTTTTACTGAAAAAACGGTGTTGCCGTAGGTAGTTCAGTAATTAACAGAAACAAAATTTTGAAATTATGACATTTTACTAAATTAGACATGTGTAATTTATTATAACAAAAATAAATGGTACATTATTAGAAGATATTGTTTGAGTGTTCAGTAACATTTTACTGAAAAAGAGGTGTTGCCGCAGTTAAGTAATTAAGACAAATAAATTATTGAAATTTGACAGTTTATTAAATTCGCGTATGCGCAATTCATTTTCAACAAAAATTACTGGGGCATTCCATTTAAAATAACAAAATTATGACTTTTAAAGTGGTCGAATTCTGCATGTTCGAGAACTCCCAGGTATGGAATTTTATTGTTTCAACTTTGGCAGGTTTGGAGACATTTTTTTGAGCGTTCCGAAGTTTTCACTCATTCCATTTAAGTGGTAAATCTGACAACATTGCTGGTGGTATTTTTGCTTTCCGCATATTCAAAAACCCCAGCCCCCCGTATTACATTTTACCGTTCCAACTTTGGCAGTTTTGTAGAAATTGAAGCGTTCCAGTACCTTTTTCCAGAATTTCAGGTTTTTTTACGGACTGACCAGTACCATCATATTATTACATGCACGAATCAAAGGTCTAGTTAACTGAACTCAAGATATTCAGAGATAGATCAGTGTAATTGTAATTTTGATCAACAAATATAAGCGTAACAAAATACCAGTTATATTATATGGCAATATTCCGCCTTTCCAATCTAACCCAAATGCTGTACGCCTTTGTGCGAATGAATTAACTGTTCGCCCGAATAAAAATTTTGATTTTGTAATCGCGTGTTAATGTTACTTTTCACGTTAGCAAAATTAAGTATTAATTTTATATGCACAAACCAATTCTAGAACTGAGAAGTTCAAGTTTGACTACCTAAATCTTGATATTGGAATTTTCCATACAGTTAGAACGTTCTTCTGGAAATTGACCTTTGTATAAGTAGATACATAAAAATTGAAAGACAGAGCCGCTATTATTTATTTGTTTATACTTTGATATTTTGCAAAAATATTTTGAAAAAATAATTTATCTACATAAAAACGTCAGAAATCTACAACACCGAAAATTGCTTTTCAATTACACAACAAGAAGCAGACCGCAAAAAAAAAACAATTAATTAGTATTGGAAACGGTTTTAACAATGTCATTTCTTAAAATCGATCAAAGCTAGATTGTAACGAATTTGATAAAATGTGCCCGTAAAGAGTTAATTTACTGACTATAATTGAAGCACAATGTGGCTTATAAAACTGAAATACGAATTTTGTAAAAAAAAAAGTTTTAGTTTAATTCGCGTTATTAAAATGGCATTTATCCACACTGCTTCAAGAAATTCGCGCTCCAAACTAAATGCTTAATCTTAAATTATACAAATAAAACAAAAAGAAATAACAATAAACAAAAAAGAAAAATACTGTTTAAAAAAGATTAATGCCGGATCTTTACACCTCATGATTCAGGCTTATAAATGGATGCTTTGATCCAGATCTTCAAAGTTATCAATCAGGATTCGTCCTCCAAGCAGTAGGACATAGTACCAACTTGCAATAGATACCGTCGAACTACTGTTCTTTGAGAGTGTTCAATATAAAGCGATAAATATAAGCGCTTTGAAGGTCACGTCTCTCTTTATTCCATAAACTTCTATTCGGATTCTCTACTCTCAAAAAAATTTAAGTTAATTGACAACATTTCATATTTTACTGTTGTCTACTGGTCTTCCAAAGTCAGCCTTTAGCGTCTTCGTAAGGCTTGCCTGAGATTCTTTTTGTAACGTTCATAAGGTTGACCATATTTCTGCTGTCCTGGAGGAATTACGCTCGAAATTTGCTGGTAGCTCAGATATTCGTTCAATTAGCACTCGCCGTAAGGCACTGCTCGCTGTTCCCAAGCATATTTTTACTCAATTTAAACGCTGCTTTAGCTAAAACGCTAACAAAGAAACTGCCTCTTCAACTTCGATCAGAAACCTCATTAATAACATTTATACAAAAGCTTCGGCAACACATTTGTCACAGCAGAGGTGTTCTTCTTATTTACTTTTTTTACCTCTTTCATTACGTTTCTATTCAGATTTTTCATAGTACCGTTGATAGCGACGTTGAAACATGATAAACTTACTTCTAAATTAACATTAAAATGATGAAAATTAACCCGTTCATTGCAGACATGTAGCCCACGACGTAAGAATTTTCACAGAAGTCGTTTTATACAATATCAGCGCTTGTTTTTGAAACAACCGGTATATAAATTGGTGCGTTAATTATTCTGAGCAGTGGGCAATCCGTTTAGAAAATTCCTATATTAAATAAATAATAATATAAATATACAAATAAAATATACTATCGCACTTTGTTAGAGGCCTGTACCTTTTCTCAGGATCTACTGATTTTAGAAAAAAAAAGGTTTATACCAAAGTTTTATGGTTTAAATTAACAAACAACAGTAACTGTAACAATTAAATTAAAAACTAAAGTAAAACAAAATAGAAAATCTACAGTAGGTTTTCAACATGTCCACCATTTTGAATAATGCAGGTTGTGTAAACAACCTCTATATGGTCTATAGCATTAGAAACAAAATCGGTGTTATTTAGTTGGACTACAGCTTCTCTAATACACTTTTGTAGTTCATTTACCTGTTTACCCTAGTACATCTTTCTTTATAAACCATATCTTTGATTCTCTCTAACAGACAGAGCTGGACTTTTCGAATTCGACAAAAAACATTCAAACATATCTGTTTGTTCTTGGACCATATACATTTTTAAATCAAGTAATAATATTGCTTGATTAAAATCACATCTGTCAAACTCTAACTTTTAATTATAACGTCACTAAAACAATTATAAACAATTGTTTGGTTACCACAGCCTACTAGGGTAAAAAGTAAGTTTCACAATAATATCATTATGCCCTTTAAAAAACTGGGAATTTTTTACTATTACTGAAAACTTTATTTAGATATGCAAAATCTTAATAAATTGTCCCATCATTCGTTGAAACAGTCATTAAAATTAAATAAAATATAAGAAAGATAGGCCATTATAGAATTCTTTAAAATAATTAGGTGTCAGTATTTTTTGACAGCGAAACCAAAACATTTAGGTATAGAACATACATATACCAAATTATAGGTATTTTGACCCCTTTGAGAAAAAATATCAAAAACATGGGCGTCTCATTAAAAAAAATGAATACTGCAAGTTGAAAGAAGAAAGTCTTCTAAAAATGTGTTTAAAATTTGATCAAGTAGTCATTACTGCCAGCAGTGGAAGTCCATATTTACTAAGAACAATTTTGCATAAAAAAATATATATTCTCAATTTCTGTTTAAACTGCACAAAATTAGAATCAGTAGTTTCCATAAAAGTTACCTTCATTTTCGGCAAGGATTCTAAAAATATCAAATAATACCTATAGAATATTCCGCATAAAAATTTAAAACTCATGTCGGTCCAGCACTTATCGACCATCCGGTATATATAACCAATAAATAATTTTAAAATCTAATTTAAACCATAAAACTTTTCCTGAGAAAAGTGCCCACCCTGTACACGTCTAGGTTTGGAAAGAAACGGTTAAATCGGTTAAATATCAAAATTTTCATCCAAATTAGCGACTTCCTGTTGCTGTTACAACTCACCGGTTATTAATACTTCGCTTTATTGCAGCTGATACACTTTCTCACGTAGTTTTAACAACACTTTCTTTAGCATTTTCTATGTTTAAACATTTGATTATGATGCGCGTTGTAACGAATGCCATAATCACATTCGCCTAAGTTTGTTTGTCCTCTTAATTAATATTATTTACAACTTAATTTCTGTCAAATTAGCGCAATGTGGAGCTTAATGAATATTTTATTTCATGGCTGTACTTAAGATGGCTAAGCATATATTTTTTAAAAATACATTTAAAAGCTTTTTCGGTACCTTTTAAAAATAAAAGGTTATAAAAACGGGGAATTGTATTATCGCCATTAAAAACGTAACATTCAATGGAATAGGTGGTTTTAATAGCATGTATAAGGGTTTCAAGAATGATGATAATACGTCCGAAATGAAAAAAATACATGCTCATTAAATTGGTTATTATTTAATTAATTCAAAAAAAAATGAATTAGCGATTTATGTCTTTTAAATATTATTGCTATAGAATTTAACATAGAAAAATAACATGTTCAAAAGTTGATTCTCAACTTGACCACTCGGTTTAGCTACAAATAATAATAATAGTATTTTATGGTTGATTTTAGCTAGTGATCCATTTCCAAGTAATGAAAAATTCATAAAAAAACTTACACTAAATTTTTGAAGGTTATAACATTAAATACATGGCAGTCCTACAGTACGTAGGTTAATTTAAACAAATCCAAAAAAATAGAAAATAATTAATTGCGCAGTAACAGAAGTTAACCAATAGGCACTACTCTAAAGCCATTTCTCTTATGCTTCAGATGATGATGATAAGAAGAAAATATCTAAATAAATGAGAACTAAAAGTTCAGATTTTCACGAAATTGTATATTTTGACATGACAATTGTTTCGACAACACCGTGTCTTTATAAAAAAAAAAATGATAGAGCGTTGTCGAAACAATTGTCATGTCAAAATATATAATTTCGTGAAAATCTGAACTTTTAATTCTTATTTATTTTGATAAATGGATTTTCACCAAGTAAAAGCCTCCTCAGTTCAAGAAAATATCTGAAAAACATATTATATGAAAAAATACAATGCAAGCTCCTTAATCCGAATAGCCCGTTGCAAGGGGATATTTGAATTACCGACTTATTCGATCTACCGGATTATTTCACACGGCAAGTATTTTTTACTAATTACTTAATAGTGTCTTTAAAACGGCTAAGAAAATAATCAAATTTTACACATCTCTTAAGGATCTAAGAGCATTTTTTGGTTTTACCAGGGGCATTTACGAGAGGTTGTTATTGAAGATCTTCGAAAGACAAAATGGTATACCACTAATTTTGTCGTTTAGTATGCAAAATTCGAGTTTGACTACTTTCTTTGATAAAGTAAAGTCAATAAATTTTCGGTCTCTCTTTTTTTTCCATAAAAATACTTGCAGAATCGTTCTGTGAAATATCGGACTTTATTAAGAAATACTCTGTATAAAAGGGTCAAATAGTATCTGTCCCATCTTTTATAAGTACATAAAAGGAGAAGGTTTTGTCACGCATTTGTAGGTAATAGAAATTAAATTTTGAGTCCTGTATAATACATAAATTATATTTTGTTGAGCCCTGCAACTCTGCTACTGATGTTGATAAATATCTAGTACTACCCCGATCAGTCTAAATTAGGTGTATTTTTTTAATTGCCTTCTTGTATCTTAGTAACTATTTCTAAATGAGCTGAATTCTGTCAAAACAATTTTGTACTTTTGTACAAATTGAATTACTTTCCATTTAAACATAAGTAATTCAAAAATACCTTTTTTTATCAATCAATTAAGCATAATCACTCTTACCATGATACGGAATTCGAAGGTGGCAAATCGATGTATCCTTGCGCAGAATGGTGTTATCCCTTTAAATATCTTAAGTTAGTGATACGCGCAACAGAACGGTTTTCGACCGCGCACTAACAGTTCATTAATGCACGCGCGCACCTACCGGCTCAGCTCACCACTTCATGCGATTGTTTCACGAAGGTGTAGTATAGAAGCAGTGCGTTTCGATTCAAAATGTCTTGAATCAAAGGAAAAACAAAATACGAACCGGTAATGGTTTCCCTCTCACTTAACGGCGGCGGCCTTTCTCCTTGACGGAACCTTCCCCACCCTTCGAAGGAGACCCCCGGGTGGTTACAGGCGCCTAGTCAATCAACTTCACTTCTCGTAGAACGAAGGTTACCTACTCGCATTTTAATTGTTTCGAGATTTAAAGTTTGGTAATAGAGCGCGACTGTGACACTCTTTCAAAGATTTATCCTATGCTAGGGCAACCAGAAATAGGGGCGAAACTGATTGCTTCGCTTGCGCCTCTCCCACCTTTGTATGGCTGACGTCTTTCGCGTAGAATGCATGTTGATATGATATCATATGATATATATGATATGTAGTGGATTTTATATTATTTCTATATTTATATATTAATTCTTTGCCAACAAATTTTATGGGCAATCTATTTAAAAATACAAAATACTAAATAGACCTGGCAGGCAAATCTCTATAAATGATATATATTTATATTCTCAAATTATTTAGAAACGTCTTTAAACGTTTGATTTTCTTTTTTAGTTTAGCCAGCGCCTTTTCAATTTCCGCATCAACAGAATACTTTATCACAAATTAAGTTAGATTCAGATTCACAGATTTTAATGCTTTATGGCAGCTGTTTCGGCCTTTATCAAATACAAAATATGACTATATTCCCACACTTATATATAAAAACAGGTAGTATTAGACTTTTAATTATAGGTATAGGGTAATAAATTTAAATTTTACAACGGAGACGTATTTAAATCCAATTGGTCATTAAGCAATAAATTCGAATATCTCATTTTGTTAATCTCCATAGCGTCCAACAAATTTAGTTTTTTGCTTTTTGAATGATTATGTAAAATATCAAAATTATCGTCAAAGTTGTGCATTTCTGAATTTAAATGAATGGCATAGTTAGAATCCGAACTTTTATTTTTATACGCCCTTTTATGTTCGTTAATGCGTTTCTCTTGTGCTATAGAAACGTAGATGATGTGTTTGCCTGTTTCATTGGAACCGAAAGACAACTACATTTCTTTTTTGGATCAATATTAACTCGATACATAACCGTATAAAATTTACTATAGAGACGGACGGTGTTGCCGAAACAGCTGTTATAAAGCATTAAAAATTATGAAAATCTGAACATTTTTTGTTCTAATTTAATTTGTGTTAAATGGATTTTCGTCAAGTAAAAGCCACCTCAGGGCGACAATAATTTATTTTCTTCAATTTAATAATTAAAAAGTTAATAAATATGTTTTGAAGAGAGCAAGATAAACCTTTTACTGTATTAAGGGTTTAAATATGTCATTCTGATAAGTTATACTATTTATCAAAATTTTGAAAATTTGATTTAATAAATCTTTCATATTAAAATCAAAAGACATACATTTTAAAAATTGAAATATGCAGGTTGATAAAAGGTAATAAGTACTTATATATTTTCAAATTAAACATGTATAAAGGGTGCTTCTAAGTTCAATACAAAAATTTTAGGTACATATTTTTCAAATTGGACTAATCTACCAGCAGAGGTTGAGTTCCCTGTGCATTTTAATAATCAGTCCGCATGTTGTAAGTTGTAAAACCTATACTTTTAATTTTAATCTTAACACCTTAAGATCTATAAACAAAAAAACTAGAAAATATTGAAACTTCAACACTCTTTAGATGGTTTACGAGGCATTTGGGTATTTATTAAATATTATTAAATTAAATTAAAAAATTAATAAAATTTATTAAAATAATTATAAAAGGTGAAGTTGAGGAAAGACCCCCATGTGAAAAATATGTCACTAAAATCTCCGAATTGAATTTTGAAGCACGATGTAATATTTTGGATATTAGGATTCCTCTAAGAAATGGCTATGGCAACAGAAAATATTTTTCTAAGATCTTCTATATTTTTTTATCCACTCCCTTTATAACATTAGAAATAAACTTTAAGAAAGACGAATATTACCAAAAGTTTAGTCAAGCGTCTAAAGAATTATTTTAGACCGCGGGTTTTCTAAAATTATGCTAACCTAAGCTACCTAAAGCACGTTTTTTTGCAAACATTATTTCATAATTAAAATTCAAAAACAATTAAGCAATTAAAAATATATAGAGGGTTCCATTAAAAATATATATGTAAAAAATAGATCCTGTATAACTGAAAATATTTTTAAAATTTCGATTTTATGCAGCATATACTTAAAACAATTTTTCCACTTGGGGATGTATTTGCCTGTATATGACTTTCCAAACTGGCTTTGTTTTTTTTTGCATAGTGAGTTTAAAATATTAACAAAATTGATAATGAAGTGTATGGAAAAAATAAATATGATCCAACCCGGTAATCTGTTCGAAAATATTCTTCAGTATGATAACACAGAGAATTTCCGCGTCTGATTAGATCGTAATCATAATCTAAAGTGGAAAACAATTTGAACAACCAGGTCGAACTTAGGTCACAGAAATTCCCTTGAACGTAATAACCCAAAAATTTAAATCAAGATCTGGTCTAGATTTCCCCTTATCAATACATATCAAAAGAAAGACAAGTAAAATTTTTGGATATAAATTAGTTGTAAAAGGCTGTCAAGATGCAAAAGATCATTACCCGATATTCGAATCTTTGTTCAATTCGAATCAATGGCTTCAAAATTTATAAATTTGGTCGTTTCGCTAATTTGTTCGTTTCGTTGTAATGGAGTATCGGGACACGGTTACATGATCTCGCCACCCAACAGAGCTTCATTATGGAGAATCGATGGGACGCAACCTACAAATTATGATGATAATGGATATTTTTGCGGCGGTAGATATGTAAGTACCTCTTAGTTCCTATACACTGAAAGGCTAAAATATGTAACACATTTATTTAAAAATCAGGTATTTTATTTAAAAAAAAATTCTCGCATCATAATTTTTTGCAATAAACAGAAAATATACATGTCAAAAAGTAAATGTTGACACCAAATTCATTTTTTCAACATTTTTTTAAACTACTTTCCAATTCTGCTTTAAATTTGACACATAATTCATGTAGCATACTTTATACCACCAATTTTTGACTTTTTACGAACAAAAGGATAAAAAACAGAATTTTAATTTTGATATAAACAGTTAAGTAGTACCAGTAAAGAAGAAAGTGAATATCGCATCTAAATGAAACCCAGAATTGAAATTTTAATTTTTATTGGATATGGAGACGAAGTAAGAACTCAATAAAAAGTTTGTAATTGGTTTTGCGCAAAAATATCAAGATCGACAGTGAATAGAATTGAGAAAAAATTTATAGAAACAGGGCACCACTAGCTTCGTGACAATATGCTAATCGGTTTAAAAACACTTCCAAAACTTTAATTGATTTTTATTATTAATTACAATTATTTTTATTATTATTATTATTTCGTATCAAATTCTAAATTTTAAATCATCTAAAATTCGTAGTTTTTTCTTCACTTTTGATTTGAAATATATCCAGAGGAAAAAACCCAGTGGAGTAATATCTGGAGATCTTGCAGGCCATTCTATTGATTTCCTTTTACCAATTCGCTTGTAAATACCGTATTTAAATATTCATGCACTTGTCAAGAAAAATGGGGCGGAGCACCATTCTGTAGAAACCAAATCTGTATGTGTAGCATATCAGGTTGATTAGAATTTGGGAAAGAAACTGGGAGAGTAGGAATATAATATCATTTTGAAGATATTTTAAATATACTCTAATAAGACTTTCATCGGTTAACATTACTTTTTGTTAGGTGTTGTTATGATTTTCTCCCATTCATCAGGGATTATTTGTACCTAGAAATTGATTTAAACAAAACGTGGCTTTATCACTAAACAGTATCAGACGAAGATTTAAATTGCACATTCCCATAAAGTTTTACGAGACTGTAATCTGCGTTCCGGATCATCAGATGATACTTCTCCTCTGCTTTTAATACACGGAAAGCGGTTCGATGGCTAATATTATTATTCAAAGTTCTCTGGATATTTTCAGATAAAATTAAAATTTCAATTTTATGGGTTTTATTCAGATGCGATTTTCTTTACTGACAAAAATGTAATTGATACAATTAAAGAACTTTACATGCATTAGCTGCTTAACTGTTTCAAAATTACATTTTTGTTTTTTAATCTTTTGCTCATAAAAAGTAAGGTAAAGTAGGGTACGTTACTTGAATTATGCTTAAAATTGGATACAGAATTCCACAATGGGTTAAAAAAAATAACTTGTTATCGATATATAATTTTTGACCGACCCGGTATATTTTCTGTTTACACTGCGTTAAAATTTGTTAATTCGATTTGCTAATTTAATCGGCCGTTATTCTTAATATAATAACGGCTTTTCGTAATGTTTACCCATATGTTAAAACTATAAAACAAGTAATTGATTGACTTTTTATGCAAAACCTTTACATTTAAGGTCCAATATGAAATAAACCAGGGTAAATGTGGACCCTGTGGGGATGATTGGAGAGATCCCATACCCAGAAGTAACGAAAATGGTGGCACCTTTGGGAATGGAATAATTGTAGCAAACTACACAGCAGGTCAAGTTATCGAAGTCAAATCGCTTATCACGGCAAACCATTTGGGAGCACTTTACTTTTCGTAAGTATAATAATGATTAATCACGTTTAATTTTAATTCTTTTCTTTAATTTTAAATTCAAATTTAAATTTATAGGCAATATTTAATAAATCAAAATCATGGTGAGTATAGAAAATCCTAAAGAGAGTGTCAAAAAAATTTGCACAAAAAGGACTTAAGTCGCTTTTGTCAGTAATTACGGTAATATTCAGGCATGACTTAAACCCACTGAAAGGCATAGATTGTTTTTTCTTTTTTATTGCAGATTGTGCAAACTCTGGCATCCAAAACTGCCTGATTACGAGCAATGCTTCAAACCACTGTTTCTAGCCGATGGAACAGATTCTCATGAAATTCGAAGCAATGATTTTGAAGTTAGCGCCTATGTTAAGCTACCAGAAAATTTTAACTGCGATCGATGTGTACTCAGATGGCATTACCGAACAGGTGTGTGTGTATTCTTTAAATTATTAATATTAATTTAACTTGTTTTTAATTTTGCAACCATCATATCAAAATGGTCTAACTTTACTGTGAAGTGGTGTTTTACATCATCTTATATTCAATTTTTGCACCCTAGGAAACAGTTGGGGCAGATGTGACGATAATAGCGAAGCCCTCGGATGTGGGGATCAGGAAATTTTCCGGAACTGCGCAGACATTGCAATACACAAAACAAAAGATCGAAAACTAAGTGACTAATTATGCAGCATTTGTCGGGCAACAAAACTGAAAATATTCGAATATTCGAAATATTAAATTATTTATAACTTTAAATTTAGAAAATACCTTTAAGTATGAGGTAATATTTATTGTAGATAGGTAATAATCATAATAATAAATGCCTTTTTACGATTTTTTATGTTTATGAAACAAATGTGAGAATGTAAAAAATAAATTTTGTCTGATGGCTGGTTAGTTTTTTCAACGAAAATTTCGTTACGAGACCCTCCATAAAAATACAAAAGGTTTTAAGGATCGTTTTTCTTCGCTATAAGAGATTTTAATAGTATTTTATAATGTGAGTCAAATTCTAAATAAAAATAAAACCGTAGAATGTTGCATTTATTTTGTAGGTGCTAATATTATACATTTCATCAGAGTTAACAATCTAACCTTATATATATATATATATATATATATATATATATATATATATATATATATATATATATATATATATATATATATATATATATATATATATATATATATATATATATATATATATATATATATATATATATACTATTTGGGATGTTAATAAAAACCAAACTAGATAAAGCAAACATTTTTTTAATTATTTTTGAAATGTACATTTTATGCCAGGAACGTTATTTTTTAAAAATGATGTCTTTTAAATAACGGGCATTATTGTCAATGCACTCTTGGAGCTTCTCGCGGAAGTGCATTATTACCCGATGGATCATTTCTTGGGGAATTGAGGCAATTTCTTGTCTTATGGCCTTTAATTTTTCCAAAGTCCGCGGACGATGTGTGAAAACTCTCGCTTTCAGGTAACCCCAAGGAGAAAAGTCGACAAATCAGGCGAACATATCAGCCAGCCAAGATCACCCAGTAAAGACACCTCTTTGTTTAGGAACATTTATTGAAGAAGATTTAGTGAACGACGCGTTGTGTGCGATGTAGCACCATCCTGCTGGAACCAAAGATGATCTATTTGATCGTTGTTCAACTCGTTCACCATTGGACGCAGGAAATTGTGAGGCATATCAAAATATCGATCTCCGTTGACTGTTATCGTTATTCCATCTTGCACACCAGACGGTGACTTTTGGACTGTGAAGAGGTCGGTCATGAAGTTTCTGTGGACTATTTGCTCACCAACAACGGAAATTTTGCTTATTTACGGTACGGTACGGTAGAGGTGAAAGTGAGCTTCATCGCTAGACATGAATACAGCGCCTCGGGAAATGTTTTGAATAATACCCCAGCATAAATTTGTACGGGTTTCAAATCTCTTGCGCTTAATTCCCGGCACTACCATCATTTTGTACGGATGCATTTAGAGTGAATTGTATAAAATTCTTCGAACACTTCTATCGGGAATTCTCAAAGCAGCTGCATTCTTACGAGCAGAACGCCTTGAAGACTGTTGTACGGAAACTTTTACTGCATTCACATTTTCCGGTGTTCTTACTGCCCTTGGTCGGCCAGTAGATTTTCGATTAAGCGCAGAATCTGTTTCCCTGAAGTGTAAAACTCACCGACGAATTGTTCTGCCATCCGGAACCGCGCCATGCCGACCAACATCAAACTGATTACCTAAAGCACGCTGCGTCGCTATTACCACTTCGGACATATCCGGGATTTTACCGCACGGATTTGGGAGCAATCGGATGTTTTCGGAGATATTTAACACGCTTTGAATTTTGACGTTTGTCAATTCTGACGGTCATGTCAGTGAATGTATTCGTGTTGTTTTACGAAAATGTACAAAAAAACTAACGATCATAGAAAAAGTATATATAGTGTACGGACAAAACACTCTGGCCAAGAGGGATCTGGATCTGAAAGAATGCATCATATTTTATGCACAGACAGGACTATTTCTTTTTTACTTCATACAGACTTAATTAAACATTTAAATTCTTTTCATAGCTTAACTATTAATGAATCTACTTTGCATTTTAAGAATTTTGAAAAGTTTTCAAATTGGAGGACCCAAGAGAATAGGGAAGTAAATTATGCTTGCCGTACACGAAAAAAATATCAACACGGTAAAGACAAAATCTTTTATGAGTGTAACAGAAGTAATTACCAAGGTTGTGTGTTTACTAATATGTGAGTAGGCATATAATGTCTCATATTTTTTAAGGATTTGTCAGCTCAGCTAAAAAACGAAGTGTGAAAACTGGAGGTAGTATTCATATCCATGGGACATGTCCTTCAAGAATTGTAGTTAACATTTAAACTGAGGGTACATAATATTATAATATTATTGTTATCTACAGATTAATTATATTTTTTGAGGATTTGTGACGGTAAAGTTTGTCGAAAAATATAAATATAAGATGTAAATAAATTTTAATGTCATATTTTATAAGTCAATTTACCCTCAAAATACAAATAAAAGCAGTACAAACACATTGTTAGTTTTATTTTATAAACTTTAAATAGAATTAACACATTAACCAAAGTTTACTTGGTCGATGATTAACAACAAATAATCTAAGCGATCATACTTATGCGACATGCGTTCTCCAATCTGTCGAGAAAGGAAAGAGGGCTATGCGGATGCCAACTTTAAACACCTCCGATTCAGTTTGAATTTGGCGCCATAGTCAAAACTAGTCGCCGCGCTCTGATTGGCTCGGCACGTTGGAATATTAATGTATGCTGTATGATCCAAGCCGTTTTGCTCAGCTGAATTGTGTTCTGTCGTGAGCATTACACATGGCGGTTCAACCTCTGTTCGCTCATGACAGAATACTTGTAATCGTCTGACAAAGTTTTGATATCAGTTCCTAAAGTACAGTGTTTGTTTTCTAATTGTTTTAGAGTTGTAAAGTGTTTTTTTCCATCCACGCCGGTTAAAGGCCGAATGGGTCCGGATGGCCCGCGGGGATAGCGGTGCTGGCCGTTTTTTGCTATCGGTCAAAAGTTCTTTTGTGCAAAACCAATTAAGTATATGTTAACAAACCTGGAGGATAATGGAATGTTCCAGATCCTTCCTTTACGAAGGCATGCTTTATTAATTTTGAATAATGTTTATCATTGTTGTAAGCCTTATGTAATGTTGGCCATTAGAAGTAGAAGAAGAAGAATAGAATAGAAGTGAGGTTCAGACTTTCAATGGAACCATTGCACATGGCGGACGTTGCTCCTGCCCGGTTCCAAAAAATTTATAGAAATCGGTCGAAATTAGTGTCGTTTAAAGAAAATATTGTTACGTATATTCGTTATCTGAAGTGATAGAGACGTAGCGCCTATAAGTTTTGGTTAGTGTGGTTTAGAAATAGTGTTCGTCTTACGTGGATGTACACGGATTTGTGATGTGTAATTCCATGAGGTGTATGTAAATACGGTTTCCGAATGTCCTATATTCACGCTGGTAACCAGGCCGGATGGGATCGGATATCCCGTATAAGATAATTGCTGGAGCCGTTTGAAGAGTCGGTCGTCATTTTATAACAATTTATTTAGAAGTTTTCGTTGCTGTATACGTAAAAAACAAAAACCTGGAGGATGATGGATTGGTCCAGACCCTTCTCTTAAGAAGGCATTTTTCAGGATATCTGAATAATGTGAAAAATTGTGTAAGCTGGCCGAATGACCTTAAGCAGTCTTGGCCATTAGAAGTAAAGAAGAAAGAAGAAGAAGAAGAAGTGAGGTTCAATAATGTTCCCCAGTTAATATCTTCAAAAACGTAAAATAACTTTCTAATTATGGCATTTATTAATTCTAGTCTAATTAGAACTGATGTAACGTCAGTAAAAATTTGGCGAAATTCTATTTTTGCCGGTAAATAAATAGATGGTAAATTTTTTCAGATACACATCTAAATATTGGGGATCTTTTAGGAATCGGAGGATTTTTACACATATTTGACTTAAAAACTGGAAAATTGTCGTCTAAACATAAAGTTTTTGAAGGACAAAAAATTTTTGGGATTTTACCATCAGCAGTATCATCTGATCTGCTTGTCTATGGGGGCAGACACTTGAAGTTATATGAAATAATTGACACAGAGGTTTTGAAAGAAATGAACTCTTTAATAATGTCAGACTGGATTTTAGGTTCCAAATGGCTTGATAATGATTCAAAAATTGCAGCAGTTTCAATGCATAACAAAGTGAGTATATGGACCAAACAGTTTACTTTGTTATATGATGTTGAGAGTGAAGAAAAATGCATTTTGTATAGTGCCCATATTTGTTACAATAGTTGGAGTGATTTAGTCGTGTTATCTGGCACTGTTTTCAGTGAAATTTTGATCTGGAAACCATGTAACTATGGTAAATATAAAGATGTACCAATTCAGAAAAGGTTGAAGGGACATAAGGTGAGAAATTAAGAATAATAAACATTATTACAAATATTTAATAGTCATTACATAAATAACAATTAATAATATATTAATATATACAAAATTTGAAAGTTAATGGATTATTTGTAATAGTCATGTTGTGCTGATGATATTATTTTTTTAGGGTGTAATATTTTCTATTGACTTTGATGTCAGTAAAGGGGTAATATGTTCAACTTCTGATGACAGGTCTGCAATTTTGTGGACTATAAAAGGCAAAAATCTTTTGCAACAAATCGAGCAAAGCACTCTTGAAATAGCAATTGCATGTCAAGTATATGGTCATTTGTCTAGAATATTCCGTTGCTGTATCTTGGAAAACACATTTGCAACTGCCAGTGAGGATTCTTTCATTATTATTTGGAATTTTGATGGTAAAATGCTGAAGAAAATTGAAACCCATCAACTAGGAACTGTTTGGGTCTTGGATTATGACAAAAAGAGTGATATTTTGGTATCTGGAGGTGGAAATAGTGGAGTGTCAAGGTTTAGAGTAACTTCGGATATTACACAATGGAGAAGTAATATTCCACAAGATGAAGTTGCAAAATTAATTGGTATATTAAACTCGGGAAGCATAGTGTGCTTTTCCGAAAGGGCTTGTGTTTATTATCAACACCATCAGGGCAAAAGTTGGCAAAAAATTAATCAACACACTGACTTGGAAAGCTACGTTATCATGCAAGTGTCAAACTGTAAGAAGAAAGTCGCCTTGGCAGGTTATCAGGGCCAAATTTATATTTACAAAGAAATAAATGATAAATTGAAACTTGCATATGTTCACACAGTATTGGCTCACGTAAGGGTTTACTCCTTCCATTGGTTAACATGTCAAACATTTTTGATTTGCCAAGAGGAAGGAGTGTTAACTTTATTATATATTCACAATGAATCCATAACACAAATTCAAACCTTTAGTTTGCCAGTGTCCAAAGAAAGATGGTCCACCTGCGCATGCAGTACAAATGATGGCCATATTGTTGTTGGTGATAGGATGGGTAACATACACTTGTACATCCTTAATAAAAAGATCCCTATCAGTTCTTTAAAAAAGGTTCACGATCATTTGGGTGTTGTAAACCTTTATGCCAATATGAAAAAAATAACTTCCTTAGGTCGAAATGGAATTTTAAATCAATACCTTATAATAAATAAAACTCTGCAAATTGTAGAATCAACAAAGACAAAACTCTCTTGGCTTGCCAGTATTGTTGATGAATATTTGTTGTCGTTCTCTGGCAAGAAGTTTGTTATCTCTGATCTCAAATTTAATCGTGTCTTATTTGATATTGATTGTGGGGGAGGCCATCGATCTTGGGCTGTTTCTAATATATGTAGCAATAACCTTTTGTTTTGTTTCATTAAGGACAAGTCTGTAAATTGCATAAATTTAGATTTAAGTAACTACATAATCTCTGATTTACTAGAAGGCTATCATTCCAAAGAAATAAATGCATTGGAAACAATATCATTTCAAAATGAATTAATTGTTATATCAGGAGGCGAAGATACAACTCTCAAAATTAACAGTATCGCCAATGGTTTCAAGTTATTAAAAAACATAAAGATCCATTTATCGAGCATACGGGCCTTGGCGATTTATAAAATACAACAAAGTCATTCATCGATGGACGAATACCTACTGTTTTCGGCCGGTGGGCGTGCACAGATTATTTGTTGGCATATTTCTTTTAACACTAATAATGAGTATCTCATGTGTACTGAAAAGTGCTCGTATTACAAAGAAATCGATCAGGAATTGCCGGAAATTCGAATAATGGATTTAGTGATTGCTGACGACGATTCGAAAATAGTTTTGTATGCTGCTTGTTCTGATGGAAATATTAAAGTATTTTCCATGCAAAAGGACGCTAATAACTATAAATTACGTTTTGTTAGGGCACTGTTTCATAAATATATCTGCATTACAAGGATAAGACATGAATATGTATTAAATGAAAACGTATTAGTAACCGCCGCAACAGATGGACATTTAGTTTTTTGGAACGTTTCCGACATATTGCTCGTTGATCGAGAAGTAAAGCCTTCGTGTTTGGTTAAGGCACATGATTCTGGGATTAATAGTCTTGTCCTTACTGTTTTAAGGAAAAACACACTCGCGTGTTTAACGGGTGGAGATGATAACAAAATTTCGTTCACTTTATATGCATGTGATAAAAGCGGCGGTATTTTAACTATTTATAAAATCGATTCTTTTGAAGATAAACTAACTCATTGTGCTCAAGTTACCGGCGCATATATCTTCGATGATTACTTCGTCACTAGCTCTATTGATCAGCGAATAGCAATATTCAAGTGGGAAATAGTCGAAGCGACTGTATCATGTAAATTTGTTCACATTTATAACACCAGCATAGCAGACGTACAGGGTTTAAAATGTCAAACCACAAATAATCAGTTGAACGTGATTATTTTTGGCAAAGGTGTGGAGTACGTTCAGATTCAAAAATCAATTTCAGCAAATTAAAAGTAAAAAACGAAGAAAAGTTCATTACATACAATTTAGTTAGTTTTATGTTCGCCAGTGTAGTCACTTGTTTGATTTCGCATGAGCGGGGCACAGCGGAGCGAGTGACTCAAGAAGTTGACCAATATGCTGCATACTATTCGTTTTCTACGACCATTAAAACGAATACATTAACCGAGTGGCATACGTCGAACTACTATCAGTCGCTAAAATCTACCGAAAATTTATTTAAGTTATTAGCATCTACTTGGTACTCCAATCGATTGTCAATCAACTGTGTTGAAAATTTTTTAAAAGGTCGGATCGATAAGTACGTCAAACGCCGTGTCGGTAGGTAACTACAATTCGTTGGAAAATTTTCTATTAACAGAAAAATCAAAAACAATCTAAAACTCGAAAAACTTGGTTCAAATAAAGACCACAAAGTTGATTAAGCCAATTAAACACACCAAACAGCCCAACAATACATACAGTATGTAGGTACATACATTTAGTTTTTTTGTTAATTAACTAGAAAATTTTTATGTGTACGTGGACAACATTTCGTCATTTAAAATATAATTGTTGTTATATTTATTAAATATAATTTTCCTGTTAGACTGTTGTTTATTTACTATCTAACTTTCATGCATTACATCTGGTTTCTGACGACATAATTTTAAAGCCAGCAGTACGGCATATACTTCAAAAGGAAGGTGTAATAAAAATTGTAAAATACTAAGAACTGCGTAATAATGACCGAGACGTTATATTTGTAAAAAGTACACTCCGGGCACAGTTTTCCCTGATAATCTCTTCTGTCTATTTAGCCTTTATAAAAGAAACACGAGTAATCTACCATAAGAAGGCTTACAGCCACCATTTTGACTATCGACTCATCAGCACTGACGAAGGAATGAACAAGACAGATGGAACATATCGACACAAGATAGAAGCACCGCATCAGGAACTAGAACTATAATTATTATGGGGTTATATTAATGTTCTCCTTTAGGGGTTAAGTAATTATCTCCCCAAAAACTTTTGGCAACTTCTTTTGAAGGCAATAAAAAGTGGCGTACTCCGCAAGTAGTTTAAAGCAAATTAATTATAACTTGAACGCGCTATCAAATAAAATTAACATTTTATTCGGACCTTGGATTTGACCAGAGTGGACGTATAACTATAGATCTCACTTTAAGTAATGTGTCCTATGTACTGCGTAGTGAAATTCTTGCTTTAACCATTTTGTATATTCATGGGGGATAGCGATCCAACTAAAAGTACTAGTAACTCAATAAAGACGTGATTCGAGGTTCTTTGTTAAGATTGTAAGGCAGGATTTACCGTGCACAATGAATCTGAAGGTTTGAGTGCCGCGCCCTAGGGCCTAGTTTTTTTTTTATTAAAAACGAATTCATTACATTACATACATTTTTTTTATTAAAAAAAAAACAATATAGCTGAAGCAAAAGACCATCCTAATTCTGGTATCAAACGTATTGAACATTTACAATGCCTCCTATGTGACACCGATTACTCGTCTCTACCAGTTAGCAATTGCACTGCCGCAAAGTGCACTTATCAGATAGGAATAGGATAGGAAAATTTCGAAATGCTTGCTCGAAACGTATTTAAAAATATTTATGTATTTAATGAGCAAGTGCTTTGAGCTTAGTTTTGGTTAGTTTCGGTAAGCGCACGTGATCGTTTTACCAGATGAGGGATTGGAATGAATTTTGCTACAGTACAATTCCGAACTAATAGAGACAAGCAATGGATCACATAGCAGCCATTGTAGATGTGCAATCGTATTATGTGATATCGAAAAGGAGGTTGAGTAATTTGACCACGCTCGCCGGATACTTTCGGTTGTGAGTTTTAAATGCTTATTGCTTTAAAATGGTAATGGTAGATATCGTTATACCGTGGCTTTTTTTTTCCGGATATTCAGCTATAATTTAGAAGTAAATATGTATTTAAACAGGTCTCAAAAAACACGCAAAAAGGAGGAACCAGTTTAATTGGTTAACATCCTATGTACTGAGAAGTTATTTGTAGCGGACAAGGACATCAAACTGAAGTTTTAACAATCAACAATTATGTACTCGATAATTTTACATGACCTTTACCAGCTGGAATTAGTATTTTTGTTTGATACCTTGGAACTCGTAATGGTGAAAACAGCAATGATAACATTATATATAGCTATTTCATTCCAGTTCTCCGTTGTTGTTACTTTGTTACCTTCGCAAAATGAATGAAATTCATGCTTCAATATTTTTTTTTTCGGACTTTGGTAATGGTAGGTCCTAAAGGATCGCCGCTGGTACAAAACGATTCAGCGGGGAAATAATTCTTTTTTGTTTGAGCTAGACGGTTGCTCCTTTTTAATTTTCCAGCAGCTGCATAGATAATTACAAATGGCAGCGCTTCGACCTCGGCGGACATCTTTTTTTTCGATTTTCGGCTGTTTTTTGCCTGCACAATATCTTATTCTTGATCATTTTTCAAAAAAAATTTTTTCTTGAAAACCATTTTCTTTATTGGAAAAATTCACGAACCAGTATTATGGACCAAAAAATTAAAGTTAAGTTAAAGTTAAAGTCTGAATTGATAAACTAGCATTCCTGCGTTTGACCGAGGAAGTAGAATTATACCAAAAATTAAAGGATCGTCAGATCTATCCGCAGATAACTCGCTCCGTTAAATTATAATTAATTTCTTTATGGCATTTTTTCTCGAATGAAAAATTACTATCAAATTTTGGGTAATATTTTCAGATGCAAAAAGAAGGTAAATTGTTAAAAAGGAATTTGCGAAAGCAAAAACATCGCCTTCCAGGGTTTTCCAGGACGGAATTATTTTATGAAAATGTCAATAAGTTCGAATTTTTACCGATATTTCGACCTTATAGAAAAATTTATTGGGTATTTTTTTCTAAAAATTATTTTTTTATTTCTTCCAGTGTCTAAGCTCATACGAGAAGATTGATATTTTGGCAGACAGTGGAAGTTTATAGGGCCTATCTGTCTTTAAGATACAGGAAAACGTTAAAAAAATCATTTTCCACAAATATCTTAATAAATAACAGATTTTGTCTAAATTCGGCAGTGGTAGACAAATTTATCCTCAATTAGATTCAAATTATTAATTCCAATGGCGCACCGAAAGACACTAACCAATATATTTGCCAAAAAAAGCGCGCCACTATTTTTTTATGTTTTCCACTTTTAACAAATAAAAATTGAAAAAAATTGTTTGTAGTTTCTTTCGTATCACTTATTTTATTACGAAGCGAAATACTAAAAAAATCAGAAACACATTTTTTAAACTGTTTAATCGAAAACTTTTTTTTCTTTAATCAGTGAGGGCTATGGCACACTAATTTTTTAGACACTGTGATATAGATAATTTTTACGGTTGTGTTGTATGAAATAATTTTACTGTTTGAGTATTACTTACTATATTTACCTAGATAGGTTTGCATTCCAAATAAGATAAGATATAATTGTATTTTTTATAATTTATAATCCAGACACCGAAACATTCAGTATATAGTTTCTACCGCCAAGCGTAAGAACAAATTTAATTTTTTTATGCCTAATAAAGAAACATACTAATTGCATGGTATCAAATTCTAATAAAAATAAGTACTTTATTATTACAGATTAATAAATTTATTTTATTCCATATTTACATATTATGTATATATTATTATGCACGTCAATACAAGTTCAAATTGTTTTAATTATTAGTCATAAACTACATAAAATTGTAAACAAATGGTATGCCTCGCGTATTGCAATAAAATGAATAATTTTTCCGGAGATCGTACCGCCACTGCACTTCAATCTAGAAATGTTTATCGCGCAGTATGCCGACGATTTAAGTCTCTCTTCGATGTAATTGTTGTTAAGTATCAAAGTAGATATGGATAGTGAGTTATTATTAATAAAAGTTGACTATTTTTTGGTGAAATCGATTGTATAAAACGTTTAACAAATGGATAAAAATTGTAAGTTATTTGTTGAACAATTAGGTTCTAATAGTGATAATTTAACATTAAGTAAATATACAAATCGCAAGTGGTTTGTTACTTTCCAAAACGTTCACCTGCTACCGTCTTAAAATTAAGCTATAGAATATGATGAGTTTATTGAAGTATGTAGACAGAAAGCTATAATTAAAGCATTATATGAAATTTGGTGGAATTTTCCGCTTCCTTTTAAAAACAAACGCTTAAAGCAACATGTGCTGATACTCGATTCATGTACTGTTCTTGTTTATTATGTCAAATGTTCTTTGTGTGTGCGCTATTAATCGATATTTAAAAATCTGTGACTTGAAAAATTTTGGTATTATCTTAGTTGATAAACTGAGTTTTTATAACATTTTTGCAGTATATATTTTTACATGTTTAGTGTATAATTTAAAATTTTCAGTCTTTATTTCAATGATAAATATAAAGCAACTACCTAATACGGAATGTATAGTAACATGTACATTGTAGATTTTAGATATCGATTAGATTTTCAAATGTTTTATTTCATTAAATTTGTAATAGATGTAGTCAATAATTGATAGCAATGGAATATACCAGAATACTTAAATTTAAAATTCTAGATGATAGCATGCACAAGTGCATTGACCCAAAACAGAAAAATGTCGCGAAACGATTGTTTAGAGTGACTACAAGAGCCCCCAGCGATAAGGCTCTTAATCAGCTCTTTAAGCAAATAACAGATATATCAGGTAAACTATTTTTATTCCTATTTTGGTTTTTTCTTGGCAATTTACCTAAACAGCGGCCTAATGCTCTAAACTACAATAAAACTCCACTACATCTTCACAATTCGGTTTGCCACCATTTTATTATTATGTGTGTGTCTTCCTGTTTGTTAATCAAATCTACACTGTGATGACGAAAAACATTGATCATGACCTTGGTGAGAAAACCTTATAAAATAACAAGAATTTTCATACTTTAGTATTAACTCAAAATTCTTAGGATGTCAGTTTGAGTTGGATTTAAAAAGGAAATATTCAAGTAAACTATACCCATATAGTTCCATAATTAGACTTCCAAGCCCCTGAAGTGATAAATTGTGCAAGTATTTAAATAAAATTAAATAGACGTTCAGAATTGTAGAGTTAATAGAAAAAATGCTTTTATACAGAAAAATATTGTTTCTCTAGGCAAACACATCAACCACTTATCCTCGTCTCATATTTAAAATACACCCGTTCTCGATAAACAAGGTTGCTCTGAGAGAGAAAGAAACACGAACTTTATATAGGTATGACCACCGCATCTTATCTGGTTTCCTCCCTATCTTAAACCGTAAAATAAATATAAAAGTTCCATTTTTTATTTCTCCACAACTAACACAAAACTACAACAAACTACAAAACATATAGAGAATTAAATAACAATCCTAAAAAAATGTTGATAAATTTCGAAGTCCGAAAAGTATGGTTTAAGTAGAAATCCTGTGGGTTTAACTAATGATTTACCAATACTAACAATTCTTGTAGAAACCCGGAGCCTACAAATGTTTTGTGCTAAACTTAATTGCTTTTAGATAAAGCATTTTGGCCAATATAAAGTTGACATCTAATGAGATACATTTGCATGTGCCAACAAAATAATTAAAAAATATAAACCACAAAAACTAAAAACCTTTTTTCATATATATTGGAAAAATAATTATAAATATAAAAATATAGTCTCTAATAGCAAAACATACATTTTGACGTAAAATGCTTCATCTGATTTAAATTATTTCAGAACACCAAGACACGGAAAAGTTCTGGCAAGAAAATATCATAAAGTGGCTAGTGGAGACAATGGCGATTGCAAATACATCGAAAAATTTTCGGGACAACATCAAAACGTTCGCTCTAAAGCTCTCTATATTCTCCTTAAAAGATGCAACTATGTTCAAAAGACTAAGCACGCAGAACGCGGTGGAAAGTATCGTACAACTCGCCAAGAACCACGACAAAATGTTGTACGTCGACCTAATCGATGCATTTGTTGAACACCAAAATGGATTCAATTATGTTAAAGACGCCAATTGTTGGGCCGATATACTTCAGCTAACAACTGAGAGTCAAAACGAAGGAAACCTCGTAGCGGCCACAAAAGGGTTCGACATGCAATATTTTTGCAACCAGTAATGATAATGCCCACTTCATTTTTAGTTACAATGCCATCACAAAATTAATAGAACGAGCTGCAATATTAAACTTGGAGTTTTGCAACTTGGTCCTAAACATAATTAGTTTCCCCATAGTGAACATTCTTCAATATTTACCGGAAAGGATCACCGTGTACTCGTCCGTGAAGGAAATCGTGCTGGAAAGTCTCTACTACAATATAATTTTTAACGCCGAAATACTCGAACGCCTATTGGAGCGCGCAAACTATAACGTGCTTAAACTCTTTGCCGAATTAAAAGTAAAAACAGCATGCGAGAAGTTGTCGTTGATATCAAAGAACGAGAACTTCTCCATAGAGGTGAACAAAATAATTGTTGTTCTGCTGCTGTGCCAGCTTGTTGAAACGTGCGACGGAGTTGAGGTTGCTGACCACGAGGTTTTGTTACGAGGTATTCTAAGCCTAGTCAGGCGGGAATTTGAAAAAGGTATGTATTTTTTGAGCAATTTAGCGTATTGTGCAATTTTATTTAGTAACAACAGCAAAAGGCTTCGGTTCTACGCCCTTAACGACTACGAAGACTGAAAAAACATATATAAAAATTAAAAAAAAAAGTTTAATAAACCGTAGTGATCCAATCGTTGCCCTGAAAATCTTGGCAATACCTGCAAAAGCAAGCAAACTACAAACAACAAAAAATCTAAGCTGTTAAGTGAATTTTATTACAAATATCAATATATCTATAAACAGAATTCACAGCATTATGTATATTGTATATTATTGTGTATATTATGCATATTGTATATTATTGTGTATATTTATATTATGTATATTGTATATTACATTAGTTTTGGCCTTAGGTAAATAGAAGTAATTTCCGTTGTACCAAGGTAATGTCCTAGGGACAGAAAAATGTAAATTCAAATCATTCAATATTGTTTTAAACGCCTTTACCGTATCTGTATATGACGAAAAAATTGAGGATATATCACTCACCTTAAAATGAATATATCTTACAAATTTATTTTGAATTCTTTCAATTTCTTCATTGAAATTTTCTTAATTCTTCAAAATATATAAGAACTAAAAGTTCAGATTTTCACGAAATTATATATTTTGACATGACAATTGTTTCGATAACACCCTGTCTTTATCAAATGTAATATTTACAAACTACCTGCTACTATATATAACGAAAAATGACCATAAAACGTTAATTAATGTTGTTGTGAGAATTTAAGTTTAATAATGGAGAGGTATTTAAATCTAATTGATCCTTAAGCAATACATTTGAATGTCTCATTTTGTCAATCTCCATTGCTTCCAATAAATTTATTAATTTTCTGCTTTTTGTGGCGGTATGTAAATGTATGTAAAATATCAAAATTGTCGTCAAAAATGTGTTTTTATGTGTTTAAGTGTGTAGCCTAATTAGAATCTAGACTATTTTATTTTTAAACGCTCTTTTATGTTCATTAATGCGTTTCTTGAAGGATCTACCAATACAAATTTTAGGGCAAGATCCACACATTTTTGACGACAATTTTGATATTTTACATATAGCCACAAAAAGTAGAAAATTAAATTTATTGGAATCCATGGAGATTAACAAAATGAGACATTCAAATGTATTGCTTAACGAATAAATTAGATTTAAATACCTCTCATTTTTCGGTATATAAAGTAGGAGGTAGTTTGTAAATATTACATTTGATAAAGACACAGTGTTGTCGAAACAATTGTCATGTCAAAATATATAATTTCATTAAAATCCGAACTTTTAGTTTTTATTTATTTTGATAAATGGATTTTCATCAAGTAAAAGCGGTTCAATCCGTAATTCTTGACCCACATACACAATTATATAAAAATTTTATTACGTTAGGATTTATAAGCTCCTTGCAATTTCTGATAAGAAAATTTTTTCCAAATGATCTGAGAATTTAAATTTCGAATCGAGGTGCAACCCCTAACTAGCTCCTTCCTTTCTAAAATATTATTATCTATTTTGTAGTTAGTTATTGCATTAGGTTTATTTGAAAATGTAACAAACAGTGCAATTTTAATTTTATTAAAATAAAGTTGGTTTCACTACTCCATTTTAGTGTGCTATTAATATCCTGTAGCAGATTGCGACTACCGCCAAAATTCATCCGTAGAGGATACACATTTACTACGATTTGCCTTATACAAGCTTATCAGGTCAACGTTGTAAATAATGCTATAAAGATTCGCCATTTTGCATACGATTTACAAATGCGTAGCTAGGGAAAGAATACATTTTACAGAACCACCTGTACCTGACTTAATTACACATTTGATTCGACAATACCTAAACAGGCGTTAGTTGTTAGTTGTATAGTTGTATCCATTAAGACAAATTTTCCAATTAAAATAAATTTATCTGCTTGCTTTCTGCCGATACAAAACAATAGAAATCCAAGCGATATCAATTGTTTTTAAAAACCATTGAAATTAATATAATTCATTTAGAGTAAAACAAAATCTCTTTAATGAAATTACTGTATTTTACTTTTTATATTCTTCTGCTTTCTTCTGTCTCTGACACTTATTCATTTCAAATGTTTACTAACATTGCCTTCTGTGGCAAAATGCGACAGCGTATAAATAAATATTTACCAAATCTGAAGTGAGTCGTAATACTTCTTGTAAGATGCCTTTGTATGCATACTAGTAATAATTCGGTAAATTACAAATGATCGTACAGATATGAACAAAATGGACCCATAATTCTGTATACAGTGTGTTTCCAAACAAATGCAAAGGGTAGTTTGTTACTGGAGTTGGGAGATATCTCGCTACAGATAGGGCTGAAATATAAAACACTAAAGCATTGTCATACTTCATAACTAAAAACTTATGCAATGACATATTTTTTTATTTTAGAAAAATAAAATGTAAAGCATTGATTGCATTTTGAAACAAAAAAAATAAAAAAGGTAATGTAGTTGGGTGCTAACTAAAACATAAAAGAAAAAAGAAAATAAAATGAAATTAGAAAAAAGAATGATAAATGCAGTCTAATTCAATCCTCAGAAAGTAATACTTCCGTAATATTTTATTGTTCAATCTACTCTAGTTTTTAAAATAAAAAGTGATAACTTTGTTTTTGGCCATTTTTGTATCTCCACATTTTTGATGATTGATTTTACAACCAAAGTTTATATAACAAACTACACCTTGAATAATGATAAATGATAAACGTCATAGTCAAAAAAAGTATTGAAATTCAAATAATTTCCCCCATTTTTTAGTTGTTAATTTCTGGTGACTATAAGGTACTCTTCTCGTATTTGGCTAAAACGCACCTTTCTCGAAAAAAAAATCATTTAATTATTTTATTGTAGTGATTTCTTTAGTTAAAAACTCATGGTGAAGTTTATTTTTCTGTTCTCCAAACGTCTAGCAATTAATTATATTCTTAAAATCGTTATATTAGATACAAACCAATTATATCATTAACAAAAAACATTTTTTAAATTAGATAAGGTACTCAACCGTCTACGATCCTCTTTTACCGCCTCATTGCTCTGCCATAGCATATGCGAAGATATAATCTATTTCTCAATTTGAAAAAGTGTTAAATATTAAAAATAGCTCTTTTCGGAAAACAAGCAGCGCAATTTCAAGATGTTTAGTTTCTTTTCTGGTTTTACAGGTCACCTTAAAGCCTCCTGCAAAATGTGTGGATACGCTCAAAAATGCTGGATATCTGTGCGGAAGAGATTACCTAAATATTTGCAAAATAGGCGGCTAATTGATTTGGAATTCCAGCTGATGGTGACCCAATTGACGCCGCTATTTTCTATAATTAAACGAATAAATCCGTCGACGACACGAATTTACTTCATGGATGAAGATCTGAAGGTATGCTACATGGTACAGGCTTGTCGAAAACTGAGCACTTTATCGATATACCTAGGTAAACAGGTATTCTTTTTCTGGGAATCGTCGCTATTGCATTGTAACTTTTAGGGTTTAATTTGTTAGATATGATGTTTAATTTTCCCTTGTTCGAAACTGAACATGTCGCTTTACATACAATGACGGAAACAATGGAATATTACAGTCCAGAATGCCTGGGCATGTGTTTCGAAATGCTCATGTACTGCTTAAACGAGATCATGGACTACGTAATTGGGGCTGCGCGATCGGAAGTGCCGCTGAAAGAACAAATCTTTATCAATCATCTTCTCAAATGTATCATGTCCTTCGTAGAAGCTTTCGATTTGTCGTGGAGGCATAGCGTCACCGCCGTAGACGTCGTATCTTTGATAATCGAGTTCCTCAGCTACGAAATGTGGACTACGGAAGTAGATAGATAGTTTTTTAGTGACTCGATGTCGTTTACTACATAATCGAAAGTTTGCAGATCACCGTGGCTGGTTTGAAATTGCTCAATTTGGCTTTACAAAAAAACATGTCTCCGAATTTGGTTCTCCTAATCGACGCCTCTAGCGACTCATCTTTGATCGACATCGGTCCCTTGCTGTACTCCAGTTGCCTTGACAGCAGTTGGGAAATCAGGGACACGGCACTTAGCGTGTTGCTGACGGTTTTCGTTAAGGCCAATAGTAAATACCACAAACGTACGTCAATATTAGTTTTTCCGGCAATCCCAATCCAAAAATACAAGCGAAATCAAATTTCAATTGACTGTGTAGTGTGTCGCTGCAATTTTGGAAAAGCGTTTTTTCTCTCATTCATTACAATCGACATTTACATTAAAGGTTTTGTTTTATTTAGATTTTCCCTGTCTGAAAGGTGTATATTCCGAAATAGACCTTATGAATTGGGTCGCCACCATGGCACTCGATGACACCAACTTAAACGTTAGAGCCAGCGCTTTAATATGCCTTCAACAAATGGCCGAAATTGAGGAAGGCATATCCGAAGATATATTCCAATGTCACGTAAGTCAAGTAAATAAAACATGTTTTCCTGGATTTAACTCCCAAATATAGGGTGAAGTATATAACATGCTAACAAATGAACCCGAGCCGACTATCAGAAATGAAGCAGTGGTTTTAATAAGCAAAATCTACAAGAATCGTAATACTCCAGAAGAGGATTTGTTGAAAATATACGCGAGTATGGAACAGGTAGCCTGTACAGATAAAGACGCCCAAGTGCAATCGAACGCAATCAGATTTTGGGAAATAGTCATACAGAAGCATTTAACAAAACAAGGTATACTCAAAAATTGTCACCGGTGACCCTGAGTGGGACAGGGAAAACTCCCTACCAATGCTAATACATATTTCGGGAATTAAAAGTGATTTCGTAGATAGTTTAGTTTAGTTTTATGAACATATAGGCTGTTTCTAAATTAATAATAAATATTTCATTGGATGATTTTTCAACAAAAATTACCTATCATATAAGTTTTTCTTTCGATTACCTTTTCTTTCAAGTATAGTCGTTTGAAATTGTACAAGAAGAATTTTGAAAATGAACTTTGGCTGATATGTGATGACTTATTTTTTTATTTGACAACCGTGTGTCTTTTTGAATATTTAACACTTTTGTTGCCAAATTTCATAATAAAGGTATGTTGGTAATAAAAGTGTAAATTTATATTTTTAAACTAACCAAAACTTGTTTCATAAAATTTCGAAAGAAATTCAGATTTTTTTTGCATAAAAAAAGTGTAAATTCATGAGCGTTTTACAAAATTCGCAATTTTTTACTTGCACTTTTTATCAAGAACATAAAATTTCGTAAAAAGTTTCTTAACACTATTTTTTTATGAAATGTTGTCCAAAAATTGTGAATGTCCAAAAAAGTAGGATATGGCCCTTCTATATTTCGTAATATTGGTATCAAATACAATCATAACTAAAGTGTAAATTTAAATTTAATAAACAAGGAGTAAATTACAGACCGAATAACATTCGAACCAATTTAGAGCGTCGAACTAGACTTTTTCAATGATTTTTTAAAAAATAATTTTCCAGTTCTTCTCGAAATATAAAGGGATCTCCATTCAATACTATCCAGGAAAGATCATAATATCCAGGGAGGCTCACTAAACAACCGAAAAAAATTTAGGTAAGTTTGGATGATATAGACGAATTCTACCTATCCCGGCAAATATACCTACAAAAATATTTTTCATACGAGTTCATTCTTTTTCAATATAAGTTGGGAGAAGTTACTCCTTTTCCCACGATAACAGGTCTGATCGGTGATTACATGGAGTGTGATGACTATAAACGGATGTAGTTCCTTTTAGGAATGGTTGATGGCGAATTTCCTGAAGTAACTTTTTCAAAAGAATTGAAAAAAATTGTCACGATCACCGTCTACGAGATTAAGAAGCGGCTGATCGATGCATTGAACCAACTGAGCTATATTGGTTGTCTGGCGATATTCGTCGATATAATTCAGAGCAAAGGAACTTCCCAGGAAGTCTTTACGACAGCTCTGGACGTAGTCACAAACTTTCACGAACTACTCAGGAAGTACCAAGTTAATGGTAAATGTATTTCATATTGAAACTCTACTAACACACCGAGTTCGTAGATCACGTCTGAAGTTATCGAAGAAAGTTTAACGACTTCGACGGCGTCCGAGAGTTTTGCATCGTCGTCCGCTCAGTTTCAGCAAACCGATCAACTAATTGATGAGATAGTCAATGAGATAGATTCCGAAGCCGATCTTCTGTCCAACATTGATACCGTAAATAACTACGAGGTTTGTACTTTTAAAATTTGCCTACTTATACATTACAGTGTGTACAGAAACAGTGCTGGAGTCAGCGTTCGCTTCTAATATCCAATGTCAATTTATCGATATGCTATTGATACCTCATAACCAGGGCTAAATTTCGGTGTTAACGTTTCGATGAAACGTCGGCTGCACAACATTTGTTGCATATATTTTTTGCAAAATGACAAATTTCAGTAGGTTTGTTTTAAAGGTAGCGGTTGGCAGCGGAGCGAGTGTTTAATAAACGAGTGACTGAAATTTATCTGCCTGTTGCATACTATTCTTTTCCTACATTCATTCACTGAGTCACGTGTGACGTGGCTGTCAGAACTGGCAAATGTCAAATGGCCATCAGTATTTAAAATCTGCTGTACACATCCGATCAATCTCACACCCCTGCCTAAAGCACCATTTATGTATCCAAAAAAAATAAAATTCTGTTACGAGTACAAAAACGGTATGCTGCGATTGGTCATAGAAAAGGGTCACTGAATAGTAGCACGTTTATAACCAGTTTTATACACACACGCACTGGTTTAATTACTAATTGTCGTTCTTGCAGTTATTAATATTATGTAATTCATTTAGGGCTTTCTGTCTCTACTTGACGTAGAAAAACTTGCATCGACGAATACGAAACGATTTGTGACGCCCTACGAGTTCGTAGATTTTCTTTACGAGACGTTACCAATGATAATAGACGAGAAACGTCGCGAGTCGTCAGACTTCGATTCGTTTACAGACGATGAGGTTGAAGATTAAGATTGAAATTGTGCTTATTAATAAAAATTGTATGTTATAAATTTCGACGAAACATTTTATAAAATTGTAAATAAATCTCTACAAAAATAATGTTTTTAATTTTCCTGGAAATAATTTTTCCACATTTAAACAACATATACAGCAGCATCATATGATCAAAATTTGCTTTTAATTTAACTGACAATAATAACATATAAGAGTTAGTTGGCGATGCGCACTTAAGGGCTTGAAACATAAGTTCGTTGTTTTCGGGACCTGTAATAGTTTTTAATAAATCCAGGTGGAGAGTGACATGGTTGTTTATTGAAATGTTTAGTCGTTATTAAATGGTCTTCCAAAAAACATTTTAGACTTCTGAATATCCTGGATGGGACAACCTGTTCCATCTATTCATAACTTCTTCCGGAGTGGCTTGAACATTCGTTTACGTTGACCGTTTTTAGCATTTATTGATACTGAGAACGAAAGGCCCCGAGGTACTTTTGATTTTGAAAGGTTCTAATGAAAATGCACATATTTGTCGAATTTCAAACTTGTCATTTTTAGTTTTAATTTCAAATTTCAAAGACTCGTTATAAGTATCGCAAACATACGTAGTTTAGCCAACAACGGGTAGACTAACCGTACAGGATTGCCCGGTAAAAGTTCAGGTTTTTCCGACAACGTCCTGGAAAACCTACTCGTCCTAGATTGTGCAGGATTTTTCAATTTAGTTATATTTTATCCCTCGGAAAATCTATAAACTTTGGCAACGCCGCAATTCCACATTACTCAGAAATTTAACCCGCAATAAAAACTATTTTATTATAAAATGATACACTAATAAATAAAGATGAACTATTTGACGAAAATAAAGAAATTTGTAACTAATAAAAAGATGGGTGATCGGCCAACTAATGATATCAATGTTTGTGTCCGATGCATCCGATATTAATGCAGAGGAAGAAAGAGTGTTTTCAATTATAAACAACTTTTTTAGTAGCGAAAAAAGTCAAGCACTTTGAAATCAGCCATGATTACAAAGTGCAACGAGAATTTAAGTCGTTTGAAGTTTTACAAACTCCTTTTAAAAAATGATGTTGCTCTAAAAGCACTAGGTGGTCAAAATAAGAATTGTGTCTTAATACGTGGTTTTAAAAAATCATTAGGCATTACAAATTTAGTTCGTATATATTTTCAGATAAAAGTTTTTTTTTAGACACAAAGATAGTACGTTTTTTTCTACGTCGAGACGTGGTCAGGACATTAAATAATATAATAAATATAAGACTACAAAATATTTTTCCTAAATTCTCCTGTTTCCAGACCATTTTTAAAATGGCGGCTAATAATAGCAATTTAAAAGGTGACAATTGAATATATTGGTAGAAATCTACTAGAAAATAATTGCTTCTCACCAAATACAAAGTGAAAAAAAGATTATTACGGTGTTGAAACCAAAAAACCAACCAAACCAAAATCCTGTCTGTAAAACTGCTTAGTACAGCGTTTGAAACCATTCGACAAATATCTTAACTTTTGAAAAGATATGAGGTACTTCCGTACATAACCCGATCATAAAGAGATGGTAAAGAGAATATCAACTTCAAGCAAAACAATACTAATGTTGATATTTTAAGACTCAGAAAACATGACCCAGAGTATTATTTTTGAGAAAGTTTTTGTGTATTGAAAAGAATTGTTATTTTTTTACTTTTTGCTTCAACTGCAAAACGAAATTAAACATAACATATAAGTTTTTTATGATAAACCTAAAGGTTTCAAAAAGTTTATATTTTGTAACGTATTCAAGTAATTTTTTCAGGGCATTTTTAACTGTTTATTTTCATTCATTCTTTTCTGATAAAAGGTTTGTGATATCTGCTCTATTTTTTACGTTAACAAACTACTACGTCATAAAACTGTAAGACCAAGGTCCTTCCTTATTATTGTGAAATCACGGCATTATTTTCATACGAGTTTTATATTTGCCAACTAAAATTACACGTTAGATCTTTTCCATAAACCACACACCAGAAAAACTGTTAACAGAGCAACTAATAGTGGTTTATTGTTGCTTATCCAGGTAAAATGAGCCTCCCAAAGGTTCAAAGATAAAAGATACACATTAGGAAATATTTTGAAACGACCACATTTGTTTACTCTCAGCAGTGCCACCATAGGAGTATAAAATCGCAAATGGGGTCGTCGTAGGACCAACATGCAAGATATTATCGTTATTTAACCGTTACGCAAAATAAGCTCTTCTGCGCCAATGTAACAGTAACCAACTTTATTTTTGATTTTTTCCATTGCACTTGTATTTTTCGAAACACACCTATTAATATGCTGTATATAAGTTATCATTATCATCATTTTTATTCTTATCAATCACAAAATAACTAACCCATAATGAAAATTAATTAATCAGTCACTTGCCTATTTCCTAAGAAAAATCTTAGACAAATATTTGTGCGTACGCCTCTGTATTGATTTAATTTGTTTGGAGTGTTATTTAACCACGTTAAATTAACTATAAATACAACAAAATTTCTAATTTGATCGTTGGAGTAACGCAGGCGCCGAACAGATGTAATATTTCCGGTATAACAGGTATTGCAACTTTGATAGTAGGTGGTATTCGTTGGTGAATTTGATGAAATGTATGAAAAACCACTTGCAAAAACCTAAATTGTTGAGATTGAAAATAATCTGTAAGTAAAGTTTATTTATACGATAATACGGTTTCCTTTCGAGAACCGTACTTTGACCATTCCATTGAAATCGCACTATAATGAGACTACAAATTTTTTCATATAGTGCGCGATCACCGCTGTAGTATGACCAAAATGTTTTTGTTTTGGTGTGAATACATTCCAAATTCAACAAACATCCATTTAGCATTAGACGAGAAAAATATCAAGGACCAAAAAAGTCAAAATAAAATATGGGTGGAATCTATAATATACCAACAGATTGTGTTAGAAAAAATTTTGCGAGACATGCGGATGATAATATATGAAACATATGAAAATATCCCCTGGTATCTTTTCTATTTAGGAACTTACCGAGAAGCTAATTACTCTTCCTTATATAACATTTTGTGTAGATTCAACGTTATACTTACAGTTCGTTGTCTCAATTTTTCTACCTGTAGGAAAATTTTGAGGATAAATCTTTTGGTAGAGAATATTTATCTGAAATAATCATTTAGCGTTCGTAAAGTTCATTCTTTTGATCCATGATCCATTTTTTTTATAGATAAATCATAACTCACTGACTTTTTATGTAAGCAAAATATGTAAATATGATAAAATAATGTAATAACGAATATTTTTAATTTGTTCGTTAATTATTTAGATGCAAAAAATAAATCAGTATCTTTGTGTATTTCATTGATTTAGTTGATTGATAATATACCATAATGTACATGTTCAATTTAAACAAATATTTTATTTTTAGCTATTATAGTAAGACACCAACATTATCAAGAGTACTTGCCTCAAGCTGAAACTAACCAAAGCTATATACACAATGAATATTTCAAACTCAGAATTAATAGTCATTTTGGAGAGGATTGTTCAACCTAACGCACCTCAGGTCGATGAAAACTTTCTGTCGACGTTACTGCAACTTGTGACTGGTCCAGAGTTTGGTAAGCTTTCCTATTAGTGTAGTTAGGAGTTAAGGAGTTAAAATGAATATCCATTCAGGTATTATAACGGAAACGCTATAAATGGTTACAATAAAGGAGCATACTATAAGTTAGAAAAAAATAAATCAGTTTATGACGTTTTAGTTGATTTCTTAGGTGCAATAAAATTTAAATGACGCCTTTAGCCCTAAAGCCTAAATGGGAATGGGAGAATCTTGAATATACTTACACTAGTTAAGGCATTTTGTTTAATACAATATTAAACCTAACACACACTCTAGAGTAGTCTTCATAGAATTACATTTACGATCCAAAATCTGGCAGATCCACAAAAACTATCAAAAAAAGTTGCCTATACTTCTATTAAGGCTGACATTGTTACCTAAGTAGATATATTAAAGAAATATCAACAGATTGGTTAATAGTATTGAATCCAATACTAAAAATCAATGAATATTTCTGAAACTGGTTTCACCCTTCTTTACTACCAAAACATCATGCAGCTTTGCGTTAGTATTGTTTAAATAGCTAAAATCATTACGTTTTAGATACTCGACAATCATTGGATTGGATAGCGAACACTGTAAAGTTATGGAAAGAAACAGCATCACCGGAGTCGATAATATTCGTCTTCACCCTTCATTTTACGGAATTCCTTTCAAAAAGCGAATCAAATTTCAGACAGTTGATTAAATCGAACGTAATCAAAAGTCTGTTAAAGATGGGAAAATCCATGAGTGATAACGCAGAGGTGACGGTTTCCATCATGGGAATGATCAAGTCATTTTGCGAACACAATGCTGGTATAATATTCGTTAAAGATTCCGGGTTATGGTTGGACATAATTTCAAAACTTCAATCTGAGAATGCAAAAGACCCAGAATTTGTTAAAATAGGGTAAGATTGTATTTAATCTTTAATTGGATATAAGAGTGTGAGCATGTATCTACAAATTTAATGATTTAGTTTATACAAATTTAGCACAACAGAGCTGGTCATAGAGAGTTTGTGCAATTTTTGGGACTTCTTTCTAATTGTTCTTTTTCTATCGTTCTCCTAATCACTGCCGAGCATTTTTCGTTGGAGCAAGAACTGCGGAGAAGAAATTTGAAACTTGTACACCTCAAGTAGTACAAAATAGATCAAATGGAAAATTCGTTACAAGGCAATAAGACAATAAAAGACTACCAGCCATTAGAACGTTTTCATTTCTAAAATATTTAAAAGACGACTTTCAATTGTCAAAAGAATGTATTCATGTATTTAAAGTGTAAAAAGTATTTTTAACATATTTCTTTCAACAATAAAGTCTGAGATCGTTCGCGTTCGAGTTAAAGGTTAATTAATTTTAATTTACTAATTAAGCCAATCAAATATGAAGGTCAGAAAGTCATTGCCTTGGTATAATTTTCCTAACAAAATATAAAAAAAAATAAATGCCAAATTGCTAAAAATAATTTTTAAAGGTACCTTTTATCCGGTGTCGAACATCTGACAATGTTTAGAGGTAGTTTTGTCAAGCCTTAAAGTTTTTGAATTTACCAAATTCGAAAAACAACACTTTGAAAAAGTGATCAATTATAATAATACCCAAATATTTGTTTAGATTTGATTTGATTGCTACACTACTTACAAACGCAGCTGAAGAACATATCACCTTTAGCACCCAAGTGCTTAAATTGGTTGCAGATCCATTAATCGATGCGATGCAACTTATTGAAGGTGCTCAATCCGAAGATTCGATTAGTACACTGATTCCGAATATCGTTTCCATGATCGAAATTCTAGAAAGGCTATTGGAAAAAGTGAGCCTTAATGTGCTTAAAGCATTATTAACCCTTGAACTGGAAAAGGTTTGTGAGAACTGGTTGTCCGTGAGCACAAATGAAAAATTGTGTTTGGATTTGGGTCGAATCGCAATAATTCTGTCGTTTTATCGGATTGTGTATTATTTCGACGGAATAAAAGTAGTGAATCGTGATGGCGTCACATTGGAATGCTTTCTCAGAATATTTGAAAATCAGATAACAAAAGGTAATGTATGTAATGTAATGTAATGAACTATATCGGCTCATTTTAAGGACATGTCAAAACTGCCTTCAAGTTGTGTTTTTATACGCAAAAATACTGGAAAAGTGTTGAAGAGAGAATGCCGAAATACTATCGTAAAGGAAAACCGATCGAAGTCGAAGATCAAATTATGGCGATTTTAATGGTACCGCTGGTTAAATTTATTAAAACTGTGAATTCATCGTCCCACAAGTCGTATGGCTATGAAGAGGAAACTCGGCTCATTTACTTGTTTTCTGTTTTGGGCAAAGTGAGCGTAAATACTTACTATTCAGGTAGGAATCTAATATTAATTAGCTGTAGATGGCACAACATAAAATGAAACACTGTACATCGTATTAAAATGAAAAGCAATGTTGACAAGCTGATCATATAAGTAATTGGAATTTTATAAAAGAAATGTCATTTTATATATTTATTTATTCAACAAAAAAGATGATATGATGATAACTTTTGCTCCTATGTGCGAAAACATTAATTAAAGTAAAAATATACACCATATAATTTTTTAAAGAGTCTATTTCTAGTTTTGAACTTATTGTGTTCCTTTAGTTGCTAATGTACACTTACTATCAAATAATTCTAAGAAAATAAGTCATCAAACTGCGAGAATTGGACATTATTTTGTTTCTGTTTATTAATGATTTTAGCACTTTTAAAATGAATAAAATGTATATTTGTTTTTGCAGCCATAATTTTATTTAATTTTCTGGGCAATTTCCCTATATTCGAAATCGAGTATTTGGTATTGGATTGCTTCATAGAATGCAAACATTATTTCTCGCGACAGAACGCGGGATTGATATTTCAAATGCTAATGTATGTCATCAAAGAGTTTTTATTCGAGTATATAAACACAAAAGCACCCCGTAATGAAATCTCCTCAAAACCATTGAGGTTTGTCACTAGACTACTAGATGCCTTACTGGAATACATTGTATTCTTCAACTTGTCGTGGACAGATTCAGTGACTACAATTTTTGGAATATATTTGGCGGTAGGCTTCTTGAAGTTTAATCTATGGCCTCCAGAGGTACCGAAATTATGTAATGATGGTTAGTAATACTATAGCCCCATTTCCAGTTAATCATCAAAGGATTGATCTTGCTTGATATAGCATTGAAGAAAAATATGTCTGCCAATATGACCCTCTTGATTGATAGTACTAACAACTCGCCTTTAACTAAAATAGGACCCACGCTCAGGTTAAAATGTTGCAATGAGAACTGGGAAATTAGAAAAGCAACTTTGGAAGTAGTTCACACTGTGGCATTAAAAGCAAGTAATATGTCAAATAAATCCCAAGAAAGTGAGTAACACAAATTTAACTCTAAAAACCGATAAGATCAAACAGTGTTTATAATAATCAAGAGCTAAAAAAATTGCTCGACTTTATACTAAATGTTATCAAACACTTTTATTAGTAGACAATAGACACGTTGCAAAATAGTCCAGTAAATATGTAAAAGACTAAAACCGACCATAAAAAAAATTTTATTTTCTAGAATTCCCATCTTTCCAGACCATTTTGCAAGAGTCGCATATAGTAGAACTCGTTTTTAATATGGCACTTAATGATAGCAACATATTTGTCAGGGCCAAGGCTATGGAATGCATAAAGAAAATGATGACAATTGAAGATATTGCAAGAAATCTATTAGAAAATAATTGTTTGGTAGATATGTTACTGTTTAATTTTATGGTAGAAAGTTGAAAGTTTTAAGGTTGAAAGAAAATAATTGCATGATTTCAGGAAAAAATCTTGAAAGTGCTGTTCAAAGAAGAAGAGTTAGTTAGAAAAGAAGCAGTAGGAGTTATCACTAAAATCTACAAGTATCACAATACTTCAGAATATAACACACTCCAAATTTACAATGCAATGGAATATGTAGCAAGCGTAGACCACAGTCCTGGTGTCATAATAAATGGGCTTAAATTTTGGAAAAATGTTATATTTAAACATTTGGAAAATCAAGGTAACTTCAACTTATCACCTTTGCTAGAATAGGAAACTGTTATGTACACTTTTTAGGTATGACTGACAAAATATTTCCTGATGTAACTTTTTCAAAAGAAGAAAAGAAAATCGTGATTCTTACTAAAGGCAAAGTAAAAAAAAGATTAGTTACGGTGCTGAATCAGCTAAGTTCAACAGGATGCTTTGCCTTATTTATTAATCACGTAAAACAAACTCCAATGTCTGTCAATCTTTTAAGTCCAGCGCTTAAAACTCTTCAGCAATTATCAGAAATTTTAAAAAGATATGAGGTACTTTTTTGACATACACCTAATCCAATCCTAAAAAAGTAATGCTTTCTAGGTTGGTAAAGAGGATATCAAATGCATATCTGGACTTCATTCATATATATCCAGAGACTTAAACGAAATAAACCACTTGGTGGAAGAACTAATAAACAATACTAATATTGACATTTTAAAAGATTTGGAAAACATGGCTCACAATCAGGTATTATTCTTTTCAATATTTTTGTCCATCGAAAAAATGAGTTTTATTTCAGTACTTTTTGTCTCAACTGGAAAATGAAGTTGATCTGTCCAAGGATCATGTTTCACCTGAAGATTTTATTGAATTTTTATATAATGACCTCCCATTCTACATTTTAAAAAGTAAGGAAAATAACAATTTTGAAACTATTGCCCACAAAATAATTCAAAATGAAAATGTAAATCAAAGTACTTACATAGACTACTAATGTAAACTCCATTTTTTTTCGTTTCTATAAATGAATATCATAAAATGTTTTTATTTTTTAGAAATTGTTTTCTTTATTATTACTATCACAGAAGCTGAAAGTTTAAGCACTGGAAAAGTATTTTGAAGATTGCATCAATACCATAATCTTCAAACCTTATTTTAAAATGATACTATATATTTCTCCAAAATTTGGTCACTCAGGATAAATTCAAAATAATTGCAACAAAATAATATTCCCTCTATAACCATTGTTCCATAATCTTTCAGATATCCAATGTGGTGATGGCAAATTCTATAGAACCATTCTCTATTTGTTTAACTCATAGATTAAACCTTATAGTAAATGCATACATCATTATATTTAAGTCGAAATTTATGTATTGTCATTGAAAGTAAATATAACTGAAAAGCACATCTCCGATTTAATGTATACAAAATAACTAAATTTTGAATTATTTTTTTATTTACATTCTCTATCAGTTCTTCTTGGCTTTTTTTATTAGTATGTTTTACACCAAAACAAAATAAGTCCTATCTGTATTTACTTGTGTACTACATATATGCTAAAAACTTACACCAAATATCCACTAAGTTTTGTTAACAATTTCACAAACTTGTCTTTTATGTAGAAGTATGATCAGATATTTTCCACTTTAATGATTGCTCTCCTGCCAATTACTGACCCAAAATAAATTTTATTTCATCACAGACCACCATTATACATGTGTGCTCCCACCTAAAAAATGACATTCTATTAACTGTCATTCTAAAATATTCCCTAGTGAAAATAACATATAAACTGTTATAAGATTGTCAGTGTTTCTCACCTCCAAAATTTTGCAGATCTTTGGAAATTAAAATTCATCCCTAATGGCATTTTTCCTACTTACATTTTTTCCAAGTGGAAATGCCCAAAATGAGGAAGGGAACCCTTTGGCGTCCCTTTCCCTCTTTACAAAAGCACTGAATGAAGATATACAATTTCCTATAAAATGATTAGCTTTCCCCAAAATACAGAGATCCACATGTGGATCAGCTTTGTGCAATTTTACCACTTTTATGTTCATTCTTTTCAGTCCGCCTTGTATCTCATCTACCATATGATTGCTGTCTGAAGAAACAAAGATGGAATTTATAACCTCATTACCATTGCCATTATTTACGGCATTATTAATTTTTTTTATGGATCTTTTAAGCTGTCTTATAATGATTTCCTTAGAAGGTAAACACATTTCCATAGTAGCTTTCCCTTTTTCATTTTTATAACCCAGACACTGAGGTGCAGAGAATAAATTTGGACTTCCAGGTATATGCTCACATGCCCGAACCCAATCATTGCCATTTCTCAAATGAATTCCAATAAATGAACCCTTAGGCATATTGTGACTTATAAAATGATCTGCCTGTTGAGAAATGTTATCCGACCAAATTAGATATTTATGCAAGTGCCTATTTTCAGCTGATACTGGAAAGCTAGCCGGTGCACCTGTAAAAGCCATGACAGGCCATTGCTGTGGAGGATACTTAAGGGACCATTTCTTAGACATTTCATTATCATGAAGGTCATAATGTAGGGGACCATAAAATTCTGAATTAACAAAGTCTATATCAAATGTATCCCAAAATGGACCAAATGGATTGCCTTCCTTAGCATTACAACCACCAGATTCCCCTAAAAATTATAGCTGCATATTTTAGGATATCAAATCACCTTTACTACCTCTCTCCATATAACAAAAAGCAATTCTCTCATTTAAAGGCCATTCATATGGGGCAATTTCTGCCATGAACCTCTCCATTGTAATTACTTTGTGATATTTCTCTAGTGGTTGTACTTTAATATACGCATCAAAAGGCACTTGTATGGATCTAGGTTCTCCATATCTATATTCAATCCATGGAGGTAAAACCAGAGTCCGGTTCAATATTTTGGCAAAACTCAACGATCCAAGAAAATGGTCTGCTTGATTGCCAAACCTTCCCATACAAGGACAATATAGAAGGTATCCCAAAGGATCAAAATTTGTACTAACTGTAATTTGAAAATATAATATTAATTGAGTTACCAGTATTAACATGGCTTGATAATATTTACTAAAAATCTTTCATCAAAAAGGTTAAATGAAAACAGAACATTACAGCAAACCTATACTAGAAATCTTAGTATATGTTATTAAAAAAATAATGTAAATATTTTGTAGGCATAATAGACGATACAAAGACGTTAGGGCCACGGTTAAAACTAAAAGCGGAATTACGAACTAAAACCATAGATTATCACTTCACTCGTTCTCCATTTGCGTATCATTCAAGTCAATTATGCGTTTTACAAAAAATGTTGGGCGCGACTGCTAGGATTATTTGCCCATTGCCGACTTCTTTCGAGGATTTTCACTTCTGGTCAATTGACCACCACGTACAAAGAAGCAAAAAACGATTCTGACCGATACCAAAAAAAATCGGCTTCCCCCCGCTTCCACCGCGGACCATCCGGGCCCATCCGGCCTCCATACCGGCGTGAACGGAGAAAAACGACGGGGCCGACGACGATTATCACTTTAAGACGTACACTGAACACTCAGAACACTAAATCCACACCGTGGATTTAGTGTTCTGTGGATCGTGGAAAACGATATCAAACTTTTTGGGACGAATACATGGGATTCTGTCGGGAGCGAACGGAGGTTAAACCGCCGCGTGCAATGCTCCACCACAGAATCCTTGCGTATCATTATAATTCCGGTCAATTCAATTGCGTCTCAAAGCTTTTCATGGGCCAAATTATCGAGATCATTAGTTCATTGCCGACTTCCGTTTACATCTCGATCTGCGACAAATGCGCCAACACAAAAAACGTCTTCTCCAACGTCCGCGAGAAACCAGTCCAGATTCAGCCGATTTTCATATCGGTAGAAATCTAGAAAACAGCAATGTCGAGCTATGCACACACAAAATAAGCACTAGACACAAAACAAATTTTTACTTCATAATTCGAGTCGATAAAAAAGATTTTACTCCGATTACAATGAATTTTGTAAGGAACGGACTATAAACGACTGCTAACTGCAATGCTTGCAATGTTTAATATATAAACAACAATAATAAATAATAATCAAAGATGTGAAATCTCTGACGAAATGAAAAATTTCCTTGGCGGTGCCGGTAATGGGGGCCCGACCAAGTAGTTATATAATTAACCAGAGAATGCGAAAAGAGTTCTCATTGTTTTTGTTCTGTGTTGTGCATTTGTTGTACATAAATTGGAGGGCATAATAAAAAAAAATTGCTAAGTTTAGTTAATAATTTTATGTACAATGTCCGAAGATGAGATGGAAAAATTCGAAATTACAGATTACGATCTGGAAAATGAGTTTAATATGAACAGAGGTCGCAAAGGCTTTTCTAAACATCAACAAATTTATGGTAACAAAAAATACGCATTTTCCAAAGTGCTAATGAAGTGCTGGAGACAGTCTAAATTTCGATTTCTAACCAGGTATTTGGGCTGACGACAGTGACAATGAAGACGATAACAAGTCTTTTAACAAGCCGCGAAAATCCAAAAATTATTCGGCTCCTATTGGATTTGTAGCAGGAGGAGTGCAGCAAGCTGGCAAAAAGAAAAATGAAATTAGGACTGAAAAAGAAGAGTCTGATGAAGAAAAGCCATCAACTTCATTTAAACACAGAAACAGCTCTGATTCTGAGGATGAGCAAACAGTTGGATTTGGTTTGTATTGTTATAAATCAGTAGTTTAAAATATTTATTAAATAATTTTCTTTCTAGGTTTCGGTTCACAACCAAAAAAACCAATTCAATCTACTGTCACAGAAATCACCTCTGACATAGCAGGTTGTCGCACTAGAAATCGTGTAGACAAAGCATTAATTAATCAAGGAATGGGTAATTGGGAAAAGCATACAAAAGGTATTGGGGCAAAGTTGCTTCTTCAAATGGGGTTCCAACCTGGAAAGGGGTTAGGTAAAGACCTTCAGGGCATTTCCACTCCAGTTGAAGCTCATTTAAGGAAAGGCCGTGGGGCTATTGGTGCTTATGGACCAGAAAAACCAGCCTCTATCCCTAAAGTAAAGGTAAATTTGTTTATTCTACAAAGTCAGACTTAAAACTTAGTTTGTCACAAAAAATTAATCTGAAATTAATACTTTTGGTTGAAAAAGTGGTATCTTGTCTGTGCCCTACTTTTTTTATAATTATAATGGAAAACAATTATTTTTCTTTAGAAAAAGGAAGTAAAGGATGAAATTGAGAGTGATGAGGAAACGCAAGGCACTGCAAAATGGAAGAGAAATGACGTTTCATCAAAACAAAAGACAAGATATTATTACCGTAGTGTTGATGATGTAATAGAAAAAGGTAAAAAACCAGGAGGTTATAGAAATTCTGGAATTTCAAGGTAGAGTTTCTCCTATCAAAATATCCAGCAAGTAGTATGTAGAGTATTATGTATGTGCTTTTTATAAACTGTTTAAAAATTTATGTACGAGATTTGATAGCCCTGTTGCATTTTCAGTGATTTATCGAAAGTGAAAGTGATTGATATGACTGGGCCTCAGCAGCGAATTTTGAGTGGTTATCATGCACTTAGTGGCCTCAAAGCCCCTCCAGGCGTCGAACATTTTGAAGATGTAGTACATAAGAAATGTCAAAATTTTGCCTTGCCCGAAATACAACATAATTTAGACTTATTGGTGGATATGTGTGAACAAGTATATTCTTGTGTTTTTAAAATAATTTTTTATTTTTCTAATGTATGTGGAATTTCAGGACATTATTAGAATAGATCGAGACTTGAGGTATAACCACGACAAGATTGTCAGTTTTAAGCACGAGGAAGATAGTTTAAAAAATCAACTATTGGTGGAAGATAGAGCTGTAAATAATTTAAGAAGTATTTTGGACATTGTGGACAAATTAATGGATCCATCTCAGGATTATTCTTTAGGACAAATTGGTTCAATATTTAAAGATTTATTGGTGTGTACAAATTATGAGACTCAGCAATATTATCGATAAAATGTCAAATCCGAACTATCGAAAAAGCTAAATGGTTTTAGTGTCCGGCACTTTTTTGATTAATTTACCATTTACAGGAACACCATTATGAAGAATATTGTCGTTATGAATTAGGTGAGCTTGCACCGGGTCTCGTGGGTCCACTTCTTACATCTGCACTAGCGAATTGGAATCCATTGCTACAGCCCAAGCAGTATACCGAATTTTATGGTCACTGGAAAGAGCTTCTGGAGGAACCAAAACGGCGAGGAACATTCGAAGGTAATAAAGTTGGAATACAGCCATACGATAGTCTCATATGGCACACTTGGGTGCCTGTTATGAGAACTTGCATTAGGTAAGTTACGCGCCTCATTTGTAAATTTTCATTCATTTGCAGATTAAACCTTTACCAAGGTTAACACCTCCAGACAGGGGTTTCTGTGTTTTTCGGTTTCTCATGAAATATTAAACTTTAGGCAAGAGTACAGAGTGTCCCGAAATCACATCATCATCACCAATCAAAATTTACAAGTTTCATTAAAATTCGAGTATTTCTATTTTACTTTTTTTCCTGTATTTATTTGAAAACAACTTTCAAAATTAACTGCAATTTTGGATTGGATTATATTTTAGTGTCCCCAATGATAAAACAGTTTAAAACATATTCATATTATCATAAGGTATCTGCCAGAAATCTACTGCAGAAAAATGTATTCTGAATTTTAATACTTTCGAACCAGCTTATAAGCTCACAATTCTGCCTTCACTCAACAGACCTTGTATTTTGTGACACTGTGTATTGTTCAAAAAGCTGTGTGGGGTTACATTTTTTTTTTTCAGTTTACCTAACATTTCTAATCAAATAGCGTAAAAATATTCCTAGAAATCAGATTTTAACTGAGCTTTAAATTTAGTAAAATAATGTGATTTATTCAAATTTACATTGGTTATGGTTACTGAAAGTACTCCCGACTACTTAGATTGAGCTTAGCTTCAGCTTTACATGTTTTAGCTTGAATGCAGCACACAGATTGAACTAATTTTATTTGACATCTTGGTTAAACCCATACAAATTTAATCACCAAGCCTCCTGAATTGTTGATTAAGCTGTGTCTCATTTTTATATAATGTAATTGGTTTGAACAATGTCAATTCAGGAAAATCATTTCACACAAGATCCAAATCAAAAATCAACTGAAAAAAGAGTAAGGTGTAAAGCCAACGTTTTTTTCTTATTAGCCTTATAAATGTAGGTACATGTCACATGGAATTGATATTTTGATATATGCTATTTCAAAAGAATGCTTTTGACTGTATGATCTAATTAGAAGGTGACACTTTGAAAAACAAAGATTATTTATTACTTTACACATTCACAATTGCAATTGGAACAATAATGTATTGTTGAATAGGGCATTTAGATTGGACCATAATGTGGTTTAATCCTTATAATTATTATAATGTGATCAGTGAGTGGAAGGAGCAAAGCAGATTATTTGTTTCTTGGCACATCCATAATTGCAATTTGAACAATAATGCTCTTATCAGTGCTTTCAGATTGAACCATAATGTGGATTAATCCTTCACCCCAAGTATTCATTTATCCTAAATAAGTTTATACCGACTTACTTTCCTTATATCCAAATGTAAGAAATTAATGGATTTAAATCACATAGCTATTAGATAATATAAAGAACGTATATACGATAAAATTGTTACTGCTACGAGATTTTAAAAATTTTAAAATTGTGATGTGCACTTAACCCGTCATTGGGAATGAAAACTTTCGAACCCACTCTTAGCTATTATTGGTTGGAAGCAAGGTTAAAACTATCATTTGTTTTTGATATTTGTTAAGAAAATTCCTGTGTTATCAGCTTAGGTAAGGCCTATATTTAATTTATCTAGTAGCTAATTGATTTATACCAATACGAGTAGTCCCACAAAGAGTTAACGCGTCTTTAATTTGTGAAAATTTGCATGTTTTTTCAATTTTTTTATATAGCCTATTACTTTTTGCAGTTCATGGAATCCTCGCGACTGTGACCCGCTCATAAACCTCATGGAGTCTTGGAAACCGCTTCTGCCAGTCTGGATACTGAACAACGTTTTCGATCAGTTCATCATGCCGCGCATATCATCAGAGGTCAACCAGTGGAACCCTCTAATGGATACAATCCCCATCCATTTGTGGATACATCCTTGGATCCCCCTACTGGGTAATATTTTTGAAAATGTCGCTTGACAGGTTAGCATTACATAAAGTGGTACAATTTTAATGTGTTTGTGTTTTTAGATGATCGACTTCAAGAAAAGGTTTACCCCATCATTCAGGAGAAACTGGGAGTAGCTTTGACAAACTGGCATCCATCAGATAGGTCAGCGAAGTTGATGTTACAGCCCTGGCAGAGGGTTCTCACCAAAGGGGCTTTCCTAGCATTTCTCTTAAAACATATTGTTCCAAAATTGCAAGTTTGTATGCAGACTATGGTTATCAATCCACATCAACAACTTTTGGGTAATGACCTAGTTTCCATAATTTACAAGTTCTCTGATGCTTTGCGAATTTAGTTCTATGGATTTTGTTTGTTTAGATCCTTGGAATTGGGTCATGGATTGGGGTGACATGCTTTCCCTTTCCAACATGACTCTCATTTTGGACAAATTCTTCTTTCCAAGGTGGCTTCAAACCTTAGCAATGTGGCTCAACCATAACCCGAACTACAATCAGGTAACAGAATGGTACTTGGGATGGAAACGGATGGTGTCTAAGAACTTGCTCATGCAACCCACAATAAAAGGTACTGGTGTTGATTTGATTGGACTTTAGACCAAATGTGTTTTGAAAGTATTCTCGATGTGTGTTCAAAGAATCAATAAGTCATAAAGCTAAGAACAAAGTACTTAATTAAAAATAGTGAAATTTTAAAATAATGTAATATTAAAAATACCTAAGGTGAATTGGTTTTGTTCTTATTATTGGGGTCAATATGCAGGGGAATCTTAAAAATAATAAAATATCTTATTAAATACTATTACCTTCTAGTGCTTGTCTTACATAACATTTCATTTAAAGGATTAGGCAGGATATCCAAAAATAACATGAGGATGATGCATTGGTTTCATGCATTTAATTATAGCTTTTTTTATGTTAAATTAATTTATTAAATATTTTTTTGTCTCAAAAATATGAACTCCTCTGACAGATAGCTTCCATAAAGCTTTGGAGATGATGAGCAGAGCCATTAACATCATTCAACAACCAGGCGCTAAAGAATCCATTATGTACTTAACGAATTCGGAAATGAACTCGGCACCACCACCTCCGCCACCCCAAATTGAGGTTAGTGTGATATTATATCCAAACCAGACTCAAAAAGTCATTAGTTGAATTCATCACACATCACATCATTCATGAATGGTCAAGTTGCGATTCTGTGTTCTTCCTTAACCATGGAAACTGAGGTTATGATGATAATAACAATGTATTCATCACCCTTTAGATTTTTTAGCTCTGTAATTGGAGTTACTCTGCGAGCTGAAGAGGGTCATTGGTGTAGATAATATATTTTCTTGTAAATTTATAAGTATACACTTAAACTGGAACAAGATAAATTTTTGATTACAGAGCATTGCTGAGGCAGTCAGGACGGCATCGAAAATACCTCAAGGATTCAAAGATTTAGTTACAAAACGCTGTGAAGAAAGAGGCATTATCTTCGTACCCATTCCAAACAAATACCGTGAAGCAAAACAGGTGTACAAAATAGGTTCTGGTGGTTTGCAGTGTTATATAGACAGAAATGTTATATTTTATTCACAAAACAATGCAACATGGTTACCAACGTCCTTAAACAAATTGCTCGACATGGCAGCTTAAAGTTTATATTAGATACTTCTTATGTTATTATGGAAAAACACTTCATATTCATTCATAATCTCCGGTTCTATTAAGTAAATTAAAAATGTCTGAGTTGTGTTTACTAAGAGAATCTGATTCTAGATAGTGGCCAATCAACACTTGGGTTTATTGCAGGTTTTAATTGAAGTCAATTAATTAACAATTTCAAAGTTTGGTCTATTTGTCAATGTTTTTAATATCCTTTAAATCGAGTTTTTTTTCCATGTAAGTATTGTGTAAATATATGTTTTATTATTTGTCTAAATTTTTTTTTCGTGGATATTAGTACAATTATTACCAATAATTAATAATCAAAGATGAAATTCAAAATTTGAAGGTAATTTACTTAAATTACTAGTAAAAACATTGTATTCTATTCTTAAATTTTAAACAAAAAAAATTTTTCTTCAGTGTTTCCAAATTTTTAAATTAATTAATTTTATTTGGTACATTTTTAATTTTATAAAGTAAGATGTAAAATAATAACATTTTGTCACTTCGCTACATCAATTCTTTGTGATATTTCACTGTTCACCTCTTTTTTTTCACTTCCAGAAAATTTTTCGCCTGAAATTATTTCAAAGAAATAACGTCAGAGTGTGGTAAGAGTATATTATGCAACAAGTGCGATAACGGCATTTGATTCGGAAGTTTATTTGAGACGAGCTGAGCGACTGTTTAATAAACAAGTTTACGGAACGTGTTGCATGCTATACTTTTTCTACGACCGTTAGTTTTTGAGTACATTTTCGCAAAACAACACGAATACATTCACTGACGTGACCGTCAGAATTGACAAACGTCAAAATTCAAAGCGTGGGAAATATCTCCGAAAACATCCGATTGCTCCCAAATCCGTGCGGTAAAATGCCGGAAAAATCCGAAGTGGCTCAGATTAATGGGAAAGGAAACTGACGTGGTAAAGTTACACTTCCCGCCCGCTAGATCGGTGCGTAATTAGGTATTTTATAGACGGGAGTAGAAAAACTATTTTGCTGATAAAACCCCAAAAGATGACGATTGCATAATCACATTATTTTTGAGTAAAGTTCAACCAGAATCAGGTGATTTAAGCTTTACTTTAAGCAGATGGTAAGAAGTTTTGTTTATTAATTTTGGCAGTAGTTCCGATCTAAACTACGTCTTCTCTCTAGTTGTTTGTTTACTTTATTTACTGATATACTATTTTCTTCAATATTTCTAAAAAAGAGTTATAACTTTCTAAAAAACCTCGAAAAAAGATGCATACAAATTCATTACTATTCCGTATTATTAAAAAAAAATAAGTACACAAGTATTTAGCTCTATTAGCATATTTAACCAATATTTTTATTTCTTAAAAAAGGGCAAAATTTTAAATTTCCTTTTTCAATTATTGTGAAAAAGAAATAATACCGAAATACTTATTTAAATACTAAAAAGTTTATTCATATAATATAATTGGCTAATAAATTAAAATCAGATCATCTACATACAATAGACTTACACTTACTTAATTCGTTTTAAACATCTTATGTGCTTTATTCTGTGATTAATGGCAATTTTTTACCTTCCCTGTTCATGATAGCGGCGCAGTTAAATTCTGGACTCAGTATGTGAATAAGGTTATAAAAGTATGGTGCACATTTGGCGTTTTTGTTCTTCTTACCTCGTTTCCTTCAAGTTTTAACATAAAGAAGTTGCATATTATAGTTGGTCTACGACAATCAGTTTTTGGGTGTACATTTTGATAATCCGTTTAAAACCTACCAAAAATATACGATCGCTCGCTAAAGCGTGACTAAAGTACTGGAATCGCCCAAAGTGGTGACAAGGTTTAATAAAGCTGGTATTTGAAAAAAAAACATAATTTTTTGCCAGTTTTTTCAATTTCATTTAAATTTTTTGTTTTTTGTTCATCAGGCCATTTTATACACGGTAAAATAATAGATATTAAATATATAATTTTAAAGATATGGGAAAAAATTACAAACGTCATTTTCGACATAAAAAGTTAAACGTCTTAGAAATGGTATGTTCACAATTTTCCAAAAAACCAACAATATATAAATAAAGAAAAAAATAAGTAAGTTGATACACACCAAATGTTGAAAATATTTTAGCCAAATTGGCGCCGCCAATATTAGTTTAATTTATATAGCTTTTAGAAAATATATTATAGATTGATTGATTGATATTTTTGTAGAGAAGTTAATGATTTTCCGCGCATGCCTGTATATTTCACCCACTAAACTGCACTTTGGGCCATTTACTTCCTAATCAGTGATTTACACACACCTAACTTGTTTTCACAGAACATTGAAACTTATTGACGATCTGTCAGCGGCCATGTTGATGATTTTAAATCTCGCACATGCGCGTGCTGAATGGACCTTCTCAACTTTTTTTTTCATAGTTGCTTCATAAGTTCCTCTATCATCTTCATGGACCGGGTCTCATATCTCTAGTAGCTATACGGTTTAATTGAAAATTTTCCAAATTTTGCTACTTATAGTATATAGTATAGTACAGTTACTTTTTTGATTTCACCGTCATTCAACCCGAAAAAATTTAGTTTGTCTAAAAACTTAACAATACTGTATAGCATTACGATATGATAGCAAACTATTAACCACTTACCTGATTTTGAAAATATTGGGTTGTTCGGAAAGTCATTTCGTTTTTTTTGGGGAACATGAAAGACAGTTTTCGTATAATGAATAAATATTTTATTAAATTATATATTGGCCATTCTGGTCCAACACCTTTTGCCATCTTTCTAGCAGTAACATAATTCCCTTCTCATAAAAGTTTTGGTCCTTGCTGGCAAAAAACTGGTTCAGGTGGTTTTTGACATCTTCATTTGAGGTAAAGGTTTTGCCATCCAAAAAATTTTGCAGGGACCGGAACAAATAGTAGTCGGAAGGCGCCAGATCTGGAGAATATGGTGGATGTTGCAGTACGTCCCATTCAAGCTGTAAAAGTTTTTGGCGAGTGACCAAACTTGTGTGAGGTCTCGCATTATCCTGGTGGAACACTACACCCTTCCTGTTGATTAATTCGGGCCTCTTCTCTTTAAGTGAATCATTCAATTTGTCCAGTTGACGTCAATAGACTTCTGAATTAATCGTTGTATTGTCCGGCAAAAGCTCAAAAAAAAACGATTCCTTTGACATCCCACCAAACGGAGAGCATCACCTTTTTTTGGTGAATGTTGGCTTTTGACACGCTATGAGACGGTTCATCTTTTCTGCTCCATGACCTCTTGCGTTTAACATTGTTGTATACAACCCATTTTTCGTCCCCAGTAATAATCCGCTTCAAAAATGGATCATTTTCTTGACGTTTGAGGAGCGAATCACACACGTCAACGCGACGACACAAATTTCGCTCCGTAAGGACATGGGGCACCCACACATCGAGCTTCGAGGTTAAGCCCATGCCTTTCAAATGGCCATAAACAGTCGAATTCGACAAATTTAATCTCTCACCCATCTCTCGTGTGGTTATTCGCCGATTTGCATCAACTAATGCCTTTATCGCATCTTTGTCAGCTTCGACCGGCCTTCCAGACCGTGGTGCATCTTCGACATCAAAATTGCCGGATCGAAATTTTGCAAACCAGTTCTGGCACTGGCGTACTGTTAACACGCCTTCTCCATACACATCCGTCAATTTATTTCTCGCTTGGACAGCATTTTTACCTTTTCTGAAGTAAAAAAGTAAAATATGACGAAAATGCTGCTTATTGCTCTCCATATTTAAAAGGGCACCAACCAAAAACTACTGCGTAGAATTAATAGAACTTTTTCACACACAAGCCTTGCAATATCAGCTCTCAAGACATATAATGGTTATGCGGCTTTAGTGTGAAGTTGGTTTCGAAAAAACGTAATTATGTCCTCTGACGGGAAAAAACGAAATGACTTTCCGAACAACCTTATAAGATCAGCATTTAGTTTGATGCTATTACCCAAGGTTTGTTTTTCGAAAAATCTACGCAAATAAGGCACGAAAGTATCTACGTATAACATCTAATTTATTTTTAACTTTAAAACCGGTAGTACATGTCCTTAAATCTGGCAGAGATTAATATTTAGATATCACGAGCCAAATGAAACTCACCGAAGTTCATTCATACTTCTGGTGTTTCCTTTTAATTTCGTTTTGATGAGTTATATTTATATATTTATTTTCATCAGCTGCCAGGATTAGAACGTCTAAATATGTTCCAACGGAGCTAAGTAAAACAACATTCTGAAATAAATAATATCTATATAATTTCAAGTGGCAAATATATTTTTACATCCCTAAATAAGCGGTACCTCTACATAAACGGCTGCAAAAAATACCATCAGGATACTTTCCAAATAAAATCTAGGTCAGAGGTAAGGCGAGTTGGTTATTAAAAAAAAATCAAATTTCCGCCATATTTTTTGTTTTCAAGATGTGCGTACAAATAGTTATTATTTACATATATAAATTGACACATTTTTACACAGGGAAAAAATATACAACGCAAAATATCCGGTAAAATTTTCAAAAACAGGTTAAAATTTAAAACCATTTAAAATGTTTCAAATTTGTCTCACACATCGCTTCGGATTTGATGCTCGACGCGCATTGGACATAATTTGTGTGTTGGTTATATTTTCACAAATAAACATTTAGGTACCTAAGACAACATACAATTTTTTTTCAGCATAAACCTACTTCAAAGCTTCAAATCCAATCATTTTTTGAATGTATTCATTACGAGATTAAAAATCTTAAAGATTTCCAATCTAAAGCCTAAAGCTAGTTAGACCTAAATATTTTTACAACAAATTATAGGAACAATTGGACTTATTCCTAAACCATATCTACAGTATAAATTATATGAATAAATGATTTTTTTTGCTTTGACGAAAGGCAGACACCTAAGCATAATGTACCCAAAGTGTATATAGCGTGGTCATTTTCAAACCTTATCAAACTACTAAATACAGTTAAATTATAAAATTCCATCGGAAAAAAATCTCATAACTTTTCTATATGAAGATTTCAATTTAACTTTTACTACCATTATTTACTACAAATGTTTTGGGTCTTATATTGGATTCTCATGTCCAGCCAAAAAGAAAAACGTGAAAGAATTTGAACTTTAAAAGAAACCACACAATATTACAAGTTCAAAATGACAACTACATAGTTAAATTTACTTACAGATATATCATGTTAAGTAAATTATGAATTTAGAAAACTATAAAGAATGAAAATCGCAAATACAAACTTACATACCCTTTAAGGGTTACAACAAAAGTTAGGTAAAATCATTTGCGATTTTAGTAACACCAAATCAATGGCGGCAAGACAAGGTAAAACAACTTCGACAAAATAATTTTTCGTTTTTTGTACTAATTCGGTCATTTTTTCGTCTTACTTTCCTCGATGTAGACGTTCCCTTTAGGTTTGATGTTACACGCTCCGTCCTCCTTGCGAACTGAAACATAAAAATTAATTAATCAAATTAATTATGATAATGCCATTAAAAAAATGGAAATACATGCATAAAAAATCAAGACGCTTCATAATTTCAATAAGGGAATTGTACATATTGTTATTATATTTATGTATTTATTGCACTCATATTTATTATTTATTTATTAATTTTATCGTAGTAAAGGATTAATTGGGGAAAACAGAAACCTACAATTTTTATATGAAATAATTTTTCTATGATCATTGCTTTTTGGTTACTTTATGGGAAAGCAACACGAATATATTCACTGATGTGTGACCTGATCACCACAACTGTCAATCGTGAAAATAAATCTTCGCAAAACATCAGATCACTTCCAATCCGTGACTAAAAGTCGACATTTTAAAAAGGCGTTGCGCGCGCCTGAAAATTATTTGAAAATTCATGTATGCGAAATTTGCCTTAGCTGCTTAATTTGCTCCTTATACTGTCACGTGTTGATTCAACTGTTAGTATACAATAATAGTTACATCAAAAAAGGTCCGATATATCAAACACGTACGATTTGCAGTGATATACAACATACATACTCAATGAGAAAAACTTCCTCTTCCTGTTTGTGTGAACAAAACGACGATCAATGAAACATAATATTACTACACACTATAGGATCTGTGAAATGTTGTGTAATGTTATTGAAATTTCGTTGGGTTCCGTATAGAAAAATTAAACTAATTTTTGATAGCAAACGCGCGCTAATCAAAACTGAAGTATTTACTTTTGCATACTTTAAGTCGGTTAAATGAAAAGTTGCGAATTAGTATCCAACGTTGTCTTAAATACCAACAAAATCTATGGATTTTGTTCAGATGTAATAATCTGTGGAAACACTACGAAAAATTCGTTCTCAATCATTATGTTAAAAATATCGACTGGGGCTCTGCTTTTTGAAAATTCTCTTCAAGTATTTCAAACAAATTGCTAGCAAACTTTTTTTGTTAATTTTAATTTTATCTTTAGGAATCAGAACCGGCTCTTTTCCATATTCCTTTTTCCTTCCGAAGAGCTCATTTTCAATTAAATCGTTGACAAGTAGGTGGAAAAAGTTTAGTAAAAAAAGTTGAACTTACCGCTAAGCAATTGCTCTAAGTAAATACATCTGTTGTTGTGGTAATTCGAGTCCCCCATTGTCGATGTCGCGACCAATATTGGACTGCTGTCTAAAAAGTCACATTTTTCCGACGATGACGTGGCCATTAAACTCAGCCTTGCTGATAGTTCCTCAACATCTGAAAGAAAAGACATTCAATTCAATAACAATGGAACTACTATATAAGAAGTGTCTGGAGACAAAACGATTTATTTTAAATTACTTCTCAAAAAGTGTTTGTCGCCCTACAAAATTTAAAAATAGGTGACATTATAAATGATTTCTTAATTTGTCAAAAAAACTTCCACAGGCTACTGTAATACTTTTTACAAAATTTCTGGATTCCTCCTGCGTCTGTTCTTGCTGAGTCGAACTTGCTGACGTTTCGCCAATCATCCTGTTGGCTTCTTCAGAGCTTGACTGAAACTTTAGTGATTTTATATTTTTTTTAGAAATTTGGAATAAGGTAGAAATCTTAATAATTTTGCTTAGTTATAATCGCTTCAGAATGTTTCCGTAGGAAAATTCTAGATAGTTTTTTACATAGTACACTATGGTATAAATATATTACTTATAGCTTTGATAAAATAAAATTAATTTCCGTGATTTTAAAAATGTTTTAAATATTTAATTTAAATTAATTACAAAAATTGAATTTGAAAAGTCTTTTGTTAAATTTATGGTTTCCATTGTCCATTTACAGTAAAAATCATGAAAATCGTTACTGTTTTAATCTTGTATGGGATACCTTGGTAAATTATATATGAAATTTTGATAAATTCCACCGATTCTACTTATATATTTGAGTATAAGAAAAATAAGGATGCTATTCCAATAAAAAAATGAAAATAACAAAAAGACCTTTTAGAATTCCCCAAATGCCGTACATGTTAACGAACTGTCGGTCCTATATAATGACTACATAGACAATATTTAGTGATGGATCCTGTAAGTGTCAGAGAAATAAAAAAAAATGAGGGAGTAAAATAATTCTAGTAAACCGTACTCCTTGCGAAGATGCAATCATCAAAGAAAGTTTCAAACAATGTTATAAAAAAACAACTTTTATTTATTAAACCGATGAAAACATCGTTTTTGTTATTTGCTTTAAATACGCGAAACTGATTGATCTTCAAAGAGTATCTTCTCAAAATGAGTTACAATCTTTAATTTTAAAATAAAATTTGCTTATTAGCATTAGAAATTCGGCGAAAATTGAAATTGCTAGAAAAGTTAACGTAGATTTCTTGAAAAGTCCTTGGATTTTTAAACATCGCGGTGATGTTGAAAAACGTATAGAGTAACTGCAAAGGTAATTTCAATACAATTTTCCAGATGCGGTTTTTGTGGATATTAAAGCGTAACTAATTGTCCGCTCGTAATTGAAAATTCTGTGTCAAACCCGATACCCGTAAAATCAACGTTAAACCAGAAACGTTGGTGCTACGACACATTTTTTTTTAGTTACTCAATTAGTTACTGCTGATGCAATGTCGTGAATAGTTGTTGTTTCTTTCACATATATAAGTATTAATTTAGATCGCACGCGTGAAAACTTTCATAAATAAGTATCAAATCGAAATACCTGCAAACAAAAGTTGAAATAATTCACTTTTGATTAGAAAATGAAAATGTTATTGAGTAGTCATTGGAAAATTTGCAAAAAGGGGAAATTATTTATCCCCATATCTTTCGACTACACTTGTTTGGTAAATCATAATCTCGAAATTCGGGTAACCTTGTTTTTTATATTCAATAACCGTCGTAATTGTTAATCAAGCGAGATAACGGCAATATTTCAGTAGTTTCTAGTAAATAACTCTAACCAGATCTCAAAGTGAACTCTTTTAATTTTACTTTTTATATTAATAATATTTAAATTATTAAGAAGCGTAGAGTTCCATATTTGTTTTTAATTCCCTTCCTGCGTGGCTGCAGTTTAAGTTTTTTCTCTCCCTCCTCGACCACCGGCCTCTCTCCAAGCTGTGCTTGCCGTGGCTTTTTAGTTAGCATTAATTAATTAGTATCTCGAATTTTATCTGGAATAGTACTCTGCTGAACAATATCACACTAAAGAAAAATAAAATGCATGTAATTCATGTACGTTGTAATGCTGTTACAAAATGTATAAATCTTTTTTGATGCGTTTTTTTTGTAGATTTAAACTGTAGCTTTTTATTCACATAAATTTAAAAATAAAATATGTCTCAAAATTAACCACATATTCACTTGTGAGCAGCTATGTCGTTAATACTAATTGTGCATTTGAATGAATAAAAGGCAGATTTACTCAAATTTTCGTTACTATGGCCAAAAATTATAAATTATGCCCGCAAAGTTAACCATGTCAATTAAATAAGGCAAAGATGAAATTTCTGAATTATGAATCACTACCGTAAACAGTAATGACATTTAAATTAACAAAATTGTTATAAAACGACTATAATTTACTTATGCTTAGGAAACGCGAAAACGTGGCAAGGTTTTTAATTACCACGATAGGATGAGTCACAAAAACCAGAAATAATGAGAACTAGATCCCACCCCAAAAGGTTGCACGTACATCGTGTGCAAAATAAAACGATCCACTATACGACCTGGAAACCTAAAGGAGATACGAATAAAAGTTTCGTACAAAAGTTTCTTGGACTCTCCTGAAGATTTAAAATATTATAATTCTGGTGATACGGGGTGTCCCAAAAGTGTCCCCCCGACATAAACCTTGTTATTTTAAATGGAACACGCTCTAAATTTCAACATTTTCGGAATCCTTAGTTAAAATAAAGGTCACTTTCTTAAGAAATTCCTATTTCGAATTTTGCGTAGTTTAGGCAGAAATTGAAGTTATGTGTGTTTTTTTTCGTATTGATTGCCCCATATGAAATCGTGTTGTGACCCTCCTGATCAAGGTATTGCAACGAAAAATTTAACAACAGACTAAGGAGATGATGCACTACTGAATCAGTTTCACAGAGACGCCTCAGCTTATACAGGGTGTCCCAAATAGGTGGAGCCTTTTTGGCGAATTCAATTAGCAAAATCTCAAGATTTTCAAATGGAAAACTCTATATTTTTACTCAGATATCAATTCTAGGACGAAAAATAAGGTAAGTTTGTAAGTTATCTTATACATAAATTTCACTTACTTTTTGAGATATTCGAGGTTTAAAATACACCCGTATAATTTCTTGTTAAATTTAAAGCCCATATTAGGTTACTTGTTGGCAAAGACATGATACTACTTCCTAACAATACAGGGTTTACATTAATACGTGCAAATTTTGAAAAAAATCGACTCTATACTACACTTTAACAGATTTAATAAAAGTTCAGAATTCATATTTAAAGAAGCATTTAATAGTTAATTATCTAGCTTGCCCGACAACTTGCGCGAGAACATTATATTTCAGCAAAGATAGCGCGCCCTATATGTGATCGTCAAGTGATAATTTTTTTAAGAGTAAATTTCCAAAACATAATTGATAAAAATGGTGACATTTGGTGACCACCGCGAAGACCTGATTTTACACCCATGAACTTTTTTTGTGGGGCACTTTAGAGGATCGTGTGTATAAATCGCAAAATAAGTGAAATACAGTTAATGACCTTAAGGAGAAATTAGACAAGAGATTCTTGCATTAAATAATAGTGATGCGGTTAGAAATGTGGCCTCTAGCATTATGACGCGCTATACAATTTGTATTGCAGTGGATGCACAATAGTATTGAAAACATATTATAGTATCACCATATTTAAGTTTTTTTAGTTATTTGTTTCTGTTTTTTTGTTTTATAGATTTATTTATTCAAATTTGTAACATTGTTTAGTAAGCCTATAAACTATAGTTATTTATTTTTCTTATTCGGTATTTTCAATAATTTACAATCAAGTGTTTCTTTAAATAGGAATTCAAAAGTTTTATGAAATCTGTTAAAGTGTACAGCATAGAGTTGCTTTTTTCAAAATTTCCACATATTAATGGACACCCTGTATTATTAGCAATAGATTTTATTCGTATATCTGGAGTATTATATCTTTAAAAGAAATAGTATCATGTGTTTGCTATTTAAAAAATACCTAATATTACCAACAAGTGCCCTAATGTGCGGAGCTTTAAATTCAACAAAAATGTATACGGGTGTTATCTTAAACCTTGAATATCTCAAAAAGTAAGTAAAATTTAAATATAAGATAAATTACAAACTTACCTTACCTTTTGTCCTAGAATTGATATCTGAGTAAAAATATAGGGCGTTCCACTTGAAAATCTTGAGATTTTGTTAATTGAATTCGCCAAAACCGCTCCACCTATTTGGGACACCCTCTATAAACTAAGGCGCCTCTGTGAAACTGATTGAGTAGGCATCATCTCTTTAGTCTGTGGTTAAATTTTCCGTTGCAATACCCGTATCAGTAGCGTCACAACACAATTTTATATGGGGCGATCAAAATACGAAAAAAAACACATAACTTCAATTTCTGCCTAAACTATGCAAAATTCTAACTAGGAATTTCTTAAGAGAGTCACCTTTATTTTAACCAACGATTCCAAAAATGTTGTACAGGGTGGGTCATTTAAAATAACAAAATTATAATATTTTAAATCTACAGGAGAGTCCAAGAAACTTTTGTACGAAACTTTTTTTCGTCTCTACTATAGGTTTCCGGATCGTATAGTGGGTCGTGGATCTGCATAACGACTATCTGTCGCCATATTGATTAATCTTATTTTAAATCATCATAGTATCACATGGTGCTCTATGGAGAATAGGTTATTGTAGAGACCGAACCACTTTTCGAGCACATAACGAGCGAAAATAACTTTCCTAATACAAACTCGCATTTTAAACTCACCTGTTCTTTTGAAATTCGAGACATCGCGTGCAATAATTAGGGGGAGCATACAAATTACGTTTCTTTCGAATTGTACGTGAGTGAAATGATAACCAATTCGTCAAAACAATATTTGAAATATTGTTTCTTGCTTTGCGAATAACATTTCCGTTACAAATTCGATTCAACTCGACCTTGCAACATTAAACGAGCGGATATTGTGCGAATGAATCGTAAATTTAAATGAGTTTCCAAAAATACGCGATAAACCATGTTCTTGCTGCTGAGCTGAAAGTATATTGCTAA